GTCCAGCATTGTTTCAATGTCAGAGTGCGCCCAATGTGAATGCACATCAAATGTGTGCACTAAGTATGTATCTGCACCTGTTATTTTTCAGTGTGTATTTCCACCCATTATTCTTTTGCATGAAATGTCAAGTGCGCCCAATGTGAATGTGCATGTGAGTGGGTGCCAAGTCACTATATTCCTATGGCATTTATTTTGCACAAAAAATATGCGCCCCCCCCAATTGTAGTAAATGCGTGGACCAAAGTAGTTTGTAGCTGCCCTGCTGAATGACATCATGTGCCCCACTGAAACAATTTTTTTGCGCCAAATGATGTTTGGACTTTGTCAAAGTTTGGCCATGTCCGGTATATTTTCCAGCTCAGGGGGTGGGGGAAGAAGCTTGAATGTACAAATTTAGTATCATTAGAATTGTATAAATGTCCTCTATCGATCTATACCTATTAGAAAAGCACCAGTAGTTGTGTAAATATTTTATGGCAGCAAAAGACTTGAAAGATGTTGGAAGGGCCAAGCAAACAAAGGCAAACATTCCGATAATTCTACAAGTTCATGCTACAAAACATGGGGGAAGAAGCTTGGATGCTCAAACAAGCTGGAATCATAATTTAGACACAATTCAGCATCTACTGATACCATTTTTTAGAGCAACGGTTGTCTGTGGCCAACCGAATTCAATACTCAGCTGTTTTGTCTAGGCTGTCACACTCTCACAAGTGTGATTTTTCTGTCAAGCATGTTGCGTTGATTATTGTCCAGAGCTTTGCAGTGCTCTTCTTCATTTCTTAAGGCTCAGCCAAAAGTTACAGAGAAAGATAACTATATATTGGATAAAAGTAGCTGTAGGTTACTGGCTGAGAGCCATCTTGCAAATCTATGGAATACATCCTGAAAATTCATGAAATCCATCCACCATTCCAGGAATTCCATCTTCAATTCCTGTAGATTAAACCAGGAAGTGTACTTCTGGAGCCCAGAGCCCAGCGTATATCCTGTACCATCCAAGAGAGTGAAATATGGGGCATTTGGGAGGCACCAATGTGATTTGGGAGTGACCTGGAGGGTGGGGGAGAATGGGAAGGCAGTAAAAAATGCGAAATATGAGAGAGTATGGGGAGTATCATCACCTACCCATGTCTGGACACCTTATAAAGTCAGGATAGGACCATAAAATGTTTTGGAAATGGGAGGAGAATGGGATGGCAGAGAAAAATGCGAAATGGGAGAGAGCATGAGAGGTATCATCACCTACCCATGTCTGGACACCTTAGAAAGTCAGAATAGAACACATTGAGCGCACTCTGATGGGCACATTGAGCGCACTCTGATGGGCACATTGAGCGCACTCTGATGGGCACATTCTGATGGGCGCACTCTGATGGGCGCACTCTGATGGGCGCACTCTGATGGGCGCACTCTGACATTTGGTGCACATTCCCATTGGGCACTCTCCAAATACATACTGAAAAACAACAAGTGCAGATGCACACTTGTTGCAGGTATATACTGACTTGGCACCCACTCGCATTTGGCGCACCTTCACATTGGGCTCATATTTCATTTGGTGCACATTCACATTGGGCACACTCTGACATTTCGTGTGCATTCACATTGGGCACACTCTGATATTATGTGGAGTGCAAAAGAATTGCGCCTCTCATGGAGCTTGAAATAATTGCACCTCTAGAGTGCAAAATAATTGCGCCCCCATAGAGCACAAGTAATTGCACCCTGGAGCACAAATAATTGCACCCTGGACTGCAAAAGAATTGCGCCCCCCATGGAGCACAAAAGAATTGCGCCTCTCATGGAGCTTGAAATAATTGCACCTCTAGAGCGCAAAATAATTGCTCCCCCATAGAGCACAAGTAATTGTGCCCTGGAGCGCAAAAGAATTGCGCCTCTCATGGAGCTTGAAATAATTGCACCTCTAGAGCACAAAATAATTGCGCGCCATAGAGCACAAAATAATTGCGCGCCATAGAGCGCAAAATAATTGCTCCCCCATAGAGCGCAAGTAATTGCGCCCTGGAGCGCAAAAGAATTGCGCCTTGTGCCCTCTGTAGAGCTCACAATAATTGTGCTTCCCTGGAGCACAAAAGAATTGCTAGAGCACAAAATAATTGTGCTCCATAGAGTGCAAAATAATTGCTCCCCCATAGAGTGCAAGTAATTGCGCCCTGGAGCACAAAAGAATTGCGCCTCGTGCCCTCTGTAGAGCTCGAAATAATTGTGCTTCCCTGGAGCACAAAAGAATTGCTAGAGCACAAAAGAATTGCGCCACATAGAGTGCAAAATAATTGCTCCCCCATAGAGCGCAAGTAATTGCACCCTGGAGCGCAAAAGAATTGCGCCTTGTGCCCTCTGTAGAGCTCGAAATAATTGTGCTTCCCTGGAGCACAAAAGAATTGCGCCCCTTGTGGAGCTTGAAATATTTGCGCCTCTACAGCACAAAATAATTGCACCCCCCATAGAGTGCAAATAATTGTGCCCCTTGTGGAGCTCAAAATAATTGCGCCTGTAGAGCGCAAAATAATTGCACAGGTTAGGACTCACCAATGAGACCAATGGGTGCAGTGCATCAGTGCCATAAATCCCTGCCAAAGTGGGCCAGGCATTTACTACAATTGGGGGGGCACATATTTTTTGTGCAAAATAAATGCCATAGGAACATAGTGACTTGGTGCCCACTCACATGCACATTCACATTGGGCATACTTGACATTTCATGCAAAAAGATAATGGGTGGAAATACAACTGGAAAATAACAGACACAGATGCATACTTAGTGCAGGTACAAGTGATTTGGCACCCACTCACATTTTGTGTGCATTCACATTGAGCGCACTCTGACATCTGGTGCCCATTCACATTGGGCACACTCTGACAATTGGTGCCCATTCACATTGGGCACACTTTTCATGCATTCACATTGGGTACACTCTGATGGGCGCACTCTGACATTTGGTGCCCATTCACATTCCAACATTTCATGCATTCACATTGGGCGCACTCTGATATTTCATGCACATTCACATTGGGTGCACTCTGATGGGTGTACTCCGACAGTTGGTTCACATTTACATTGGGCGCACTTTTCATGCATTCACATTGGGCACACTGACATTTCATGCAGAAAAATAATCACTGACATTTTGTGCCCATTTACATTCCAACATTTCATACATTCACATTGGGTGCACTGATATTTGTGCACATTCACATTGGGTGCACTCTGATGGGCACACTCTGGCATTTGGTTCACATTTACATTGGGCGCACTCTGACATTGGTGCCCATTCACATTGGGCGCACTCTGACCTTTGGTGCACATTCACATTGGGCACAGCACACTCTGACATTGAAACAATGCTGGATACAGACTATTTCTGACCCTATCAACAGCACAAGGTACATACAGTAGTACTTGAAAGAATTGTGCGCCCTGTGGAGCACAAAATAATTGCACCCCCTGTGGAGTGCAAAAGAATTGCATCCCTTATGGAGCTCAAAATAATTGTGCCCCCCATGGAATGCAAATAATTTCGCCCCTCATGGAGCTTGAGATAATTGCGCCCCCTGTAGTGCTCGGAATAATTGTGCCCCCATGGAGTGCAAAAGAATTGCGCCCCCATGGAGCACAAAAGAATTGCGCCTCTTGTGGAGCTTGAAATAATTGCACCTCTAGAGCACAAATAATTGCATCCCCATAGAGTGCAAATAATTGCACCCCTTGCAGAGCTCAAAATAATTTCACCTGTAGAGCGCAAAATAATAATGGCATTGGTGCAAAGTGTGGGTTATTTTCAATAGGAGCCCCCATTATTGGCACACAACTGTGAATCATTTTCAATAGGAGCGCCCATTATTGGCAGGCGCCCACCTGTTCGGCCAAGTCCGCTGGCCCCATATAGTATGAAGCATTGTCAGGTTCGGTTGGTCCATTTGGTAAGGGCTAGGGTCACTGTCATATGTGAATAAATCTATGGAAATGAGATGTAAACCCCTGCAGCTCATACCCAGCCTGATATACCAGCATTGCCTGGATCACCACCCATTCTCAACATGTTCCTCCACCCCCGAGACAGGTGTCCCTGTTGCCATGCTGTGTTTAGTGCGAAGTTCACATGGCACCCAGCTGTCAACAGGTCGACGTGATATTGAACCTGGGTGTGGTTACATAATTTGATCCAGATTTCTGTGACCTGGCCCTGGTTTGGCGGTGTATGTGATGGATTTATGTCCACGTTGGTGGACTGACTTACAGCCGTTTTCATAACGATAGGCCTAATCTGACCAAATACACGTACAGGCGGAGTCTAAAATTGTACGTGTAAGTTGTCGGATGATGACTCTATTTAGTATAACTGTAGATCTATCGTGCTCGTCATCCCTGAAATATATGCTGATTTTCGTGGACATAGTTAGAATTTGAAGTCCGACTGTATCTGTAATTTTGAACTTTTGGCCTATCGTTATGAAAACGGCTGTAAGTAGGTGCTGATGACGTGCCCTTTAGTAGGTCCGATGACGAGCGCTGGAGAGGTTCCGGGTTAAGGTAGAATGACTTTTTCATTTTTTTATTTCGATGCTGAGCAGACGCTTGACTCGATTGAAAGATCCAACGTTGGTGTTCAAACTGAAGGCTTGCGCTTAACATTGCCATTATACGAACAATCTGTTCTCGTTTAGGTTACTGAGACTCTGTTTGAAAGATTCGCATTCGTCTCCAATATGTGCGGTTAGTCAGAGTTAAAGTGGGTATCCGCGTTTTATTTTATTTTATCCTTGTGTTGAAGCCATTGATGGTCCGTTTGTTCTGCGATTGTTCAGAGTAGAGTCAGAGGTAAGTATTACTTTTATAAGGCGGACTGGCTGGGGTTTTATTTATTTTTCAGTTGTCGAAGTCCTTCATGCCGGCTTTTATCCATTGGTGTTCTTTTCATGCAATTATCCCCAATCAAAGTCTGTACACCGTGCTTCAAGTTGCGAAGCACGCTTCATGCTGATTCATACTCAGGCTCTGCCCCCACGTATCCAGAACCCTGTAAAGAAATAAGCTGTCGCGCGCGCAGACATGGATGCGAGACTTGCCACTTTTACATCCAAACCTGTTTCCACATTGTTCCCAGAACCCGTCCCGAACTCTTTTTTTGTTTCGATCATGATTGAGATATTCTGCTGTTGCTGGATACGTTACATCAATAGGAAGCAGGCTTGACTCAAGACGACGAGACCTACCCGACCAGATGAAACCTTTCTGTCCTTTCCTAACGAGCTTAGAGATATATTATTTCCACTGCTTTGAACGTCGTCGGACAGTTCACGAATCTTCTTCCTCGCATTGAGCGTTGCGAGCAAGGAGTTTGTATATACTATCTTTGGTGTTAGTAAATTGTCTGCAGCAAGCAGAGAAAGCAGTTCTTACGGCGTCCTATGCAGAAGAAAAAGGTGATATAATAAAAAGTTGTCGGCCCCGCGAGGGTCTAGCGATGAATGCTTTATCACTACATTCCATTTTCGAAAGAAGAAAGAAAAACGTACCGAAACGAGGGAAGCTAAGGCACAAAGGCTGTGTGCAATCTGTGAGACTGCTGCATCAAGGAGCTTGGTGACGTGGGCTTACCTGGTGAGAAGGCCTGTATTGATGGAGAAAACTATCTGCGCAATGTTCATTCAAGCCGGGAGAAATCAGAGAATGAGCACGTACGAGTTTAGTAATGATGGTATCCGATCTGGGTGAGAGCGCGTTAGGCTATGCCGAGAGGGAGCGAAACAATTAACCATACCTGTGGAAACCAGTGCGAGAGCGGTGTAGCAGTGTGCATAATGAGGCGGCGATGACGAGGTCGCCGACAGCTGCTAGGGCATTGCTCGAGAGCGATAAAGGCTATTAATTGGAAGGGAAATGGGTGTTAGAAAAATAGAAAGTCTAATAATTACTCCTCACCTGGAGGTGCTCGAGTTGAACGACGGTTTTGAATCTCAACCTGTGCATGCTGGTTACTACAATTGAGCAGGTCAGGAAGTGGGTCACTTGCGATATGATCGTATAAGCTAGTTGAGTTAATCAAGTCAATAATTTTAAATCAGAATATGGGATTGTTAGAGACCTATGTTGACTCCTGTTGCGCAATTGGGTAAAAAGGTGCCCAAGAAAAGCGACTAACGATAACAAACCAAACTCCCCCAAGATAAGTAACACCTGTGCCATTATTAGCCGCAGTCCACTGCTTGAAAATAAGCACTCACAACGATGACTATGAGCCACACGTTTCTATCGCTCACTGTTAATTTGATTTAATGGTGGGAAAGTTCAAGTGAAAGGAAACTGACATCGCCAGATCCGCATTGCGAGGAAACTACGACGTGACAGAAATTAATCAACAAAGGATGCTCAACACAAAAACTAGAGGGCGGAAGGGGCTCACCATTGCACCAAAAACGTGGTCAATCCCTACCAGCAAACTGTGGTTCAGGTCGTCCACCCATACAAACAATTGGGAGACTCACGTTAAACGCGACCTCAACCAACAGTGTCCTGTATTCAAAAGGTTAACAAGTGAGTATTGGAGACAGAAGCATCATCGCGTACGGAACGAGCTCGCCAAGAATAGCCACATTGCCCCAGTTCGTGATGGTATACGTGTAGACTGCGGGAAATCGTCAAATAAACATACGACGATAAAGTCGGGATGATTTACTACTGTGCATGATCAGACCTTGATGTATGGTGTCGGTAAGCATCACACACGAAACCTATGCAAGATGATCAGCTCAAGGGAGAAGCAAATTTCAACGTTGATATCTACCAGGGCTTTCAGCGGCCATCGATCGCTTTGGTGGACAAAGTAGTACCACGCTTGAACACAAGAAACTAGGATAACGCCGTCAATTTTTTTAGAACAGCGAAGGGAAAAGGGGATTCAGACCCCCAAAAAGGCTGCGGAGCAGTCAGCAAACGGTTATAAAATGCTACCATGATCACTTACCATCCAGAAACGACAACTCCGATAAAAGCCGCGCCCAAACTGTGTTGTGAGAGAGAGGTCAGGTTTGTCGATAATATTAGATTGATTGGTACGCACGTATCGTTGAGCACGATTTGTGGAACTGGAGTGGCGTCTGCCATAAGTATCAACGACCTTGAGGTCGAGGGTTGAGGGAACTTGTTCGGAATGAACGTAAGGATGTTTCGGAATCGACGAGGTTTTATATTTTCTGCTGTATAATCTTGCCAGATTTCACTCACTCAGGCCTGCTTAGGCGCGATGTTGGAGGATGCCATCAAGGGAGATATGTATAAGTCGCTCGGGTAGAGCCGAGAACCAAGGAGCTGACGATCATTTCTCGAACCAAATTTGCTAGTAGTCGTTCCAGGATCTCTACTGTGAATTCAGTTTTTAGGTTGTGACAAAAGATAAAGCATAATAATCACTCATCCTGATGTTTGACTGGATTTGAAACCTGTAGAGATGTATTTTGTCGGATTCGGAGGGTGACTCAAAAGGGTATCTTGTAAGATACCTGTTCGAACTTTTAAGCTCGTGAACGGAATTGTTCCTGAGTCCTGACAGGAACTTCCCGTGGTCAGGGAATGTTGACTAACTACTTATATTCCAAGAAACCTGAAACAACTCCTCAGTCTGTGTCCTCAAAAAAAAAAAAACGAAGACGCGGCGTGTGATACAAGTTGAGCTAGTGCCTCAGCGCTTGGGGCTGTTTTGAGTTCACGAAGCGATGATCGCAATAGCTTATTCGCATTGCGCCCAGGCGGCCCAACTTCTTATATCACTGGATTAACTCTGCATTGCCCTGCTCGAGATCGACAAATGCGATGATTAGCCAGACGCGCAACAGAAGGACAGTATATCAGCAGGCAGCAGGATGCCAAACTCCGCGTCAGACCACAGGCACAGTTGTTCACGACCCGTCTTTCCACGTTTGCGGGGTCGCCGAGAATAAGCATGAGTGATCCTGCGTGATGCAAGGGCGATCAAGCGTGGGGACGTTACTGTTTCCCTGTATCCTTCTTATTCATCCCCAAACCCATTGAATAGTCTCGGATAGCGTCGCCGCAAAGCAAGGTTCAAAGTCCTTTAAAGTCGGAAATAGATGACTTTAAAGGATGAGTTGCTTTAAAGCGGTTTCCGTTTTCGGTCGAGTGCGGCTGGGCGTCGAATTGGGACCTCAGATAATAGAACTTGATGAAAATCTTGGTACTCTTGTTGGACGAACTGGGGGAGTTGACGCCAAGAACATATCGAAAGTTAAATATAGATTTCGCGAGTGAAGAGCTAAACCACGGGTAAGTGAGATTCAAGACACGTGCAATGCGGGAGAGGACTTGCATGACTCCAACAATTCTTGTCGCCTTCTCGCCTTGCGCCCAGTGCTCACTCTCATAAAATCCTATCAATGCATTGACTTGGCCACATATCTTGCGTTCTTGTCGTTCGCGGATTCTCGTCAAGATTGGTGCGTGGTGTTGCGTACTGCGAGAGATAGAAGACACAGAAGACACAAGGCATGAATGATTTGTGCAAACGACTAAAAAATGGATGACTTACATACTCGCTCTATGTTGAGGCTCCAGGTAACGTTCACTTTGGAACCTCCTGGCGTGTGCAATGACGAGTAGTCAATGCCGGAGATGTTGGAAATGCGGCAGCCGCGTTGATCCTAAACTGAATAGTCGAATCAGTTAGACCGGATGCAGAACCTCACGAACCTCCGAATCGTACTCGTCGTTCCCTGCTCGACCTCAACAACATATCCACTCACCCCCTCTCTCCATTTCTACATCCGCGCATCCTCCCTCGTACTCGAAAACATTGGCATAAGCCCACCATAACCAATGAACCACGGCTTCCCCGAATTGACTTTTGTGGGAGGAATCATCCTGACGCCCGTAGGATACTGTGGCCACGAAAGCGAGTGCATGAACCCTGAAAAGGGGCTTTTTTCTTCTCATATGGATGCACAGGTAGAATAAAATGGCGAGGAGAGCGGGGAAGATTAGTCATAAAAAAGGGCTGTTTGTGGGAAGGAAGGGGCGGAGGATGAGGTGGATCATGCTCAGTGGAGGGACGAGCCGAATTGGGTGATGGACACGCGCTTCGCGGATGCATATGCAATAGGCGGGTTAGGGCGCAGAGACAGCTAAAATGACTTGGTGAGTATACATATTCCCAAGGGGCATGCAACCGAGCATCCGGCCATTTCAACCATACCTATGACCCCGTGAGAACTAATACATGAGCACACTCCAGTCACATCGTGTCACGCTGATATTATCAAGCCAGATTGTAATCTACGCCTTTACCGTCTCTTCTTTCCAGTTGGTCCAACAACACTAACTGTTGGCGCTCTTTCTTGCTTCAGATCCTCCTTCAGCATCTCGATGTTATCGCTTCCGGAAAGCCATTTGACGGACTCGCCAGGGCAAGAAATTTGTATGCCTCATTCTGAAAGGTTTTCGGGTGTCGTAATTAGAAGGATGGGAATTGGTTGGACAACAGGTTTTAGATCTGGAAACCCTTGGCTTCTCTGGAGTCTGAAACATGTAGTGCCACACCAATGCTTGAAGAAAGACCGAGGATGTGCAGTAACTGTGAGGGTAACATCAAAATTGCAAACATCACAACGAATAATGTGATAACAGTTCTGATCTATAGTGGTCAGAATTTCGGGAGCACCAGGCAATCTAATAAATAGCCTTTGGGATCGTGAGCGGAACAAGTGCTTTCGGCATGAGCTAGAAAAAGAGAGAAGGTGGGGGAGGATAATGATTTCATCTCTCTACCTACTGGAATACTGTGGCCACTTTTTTATGACAGGGTCTGCTGAGGGTCTAAATCTGAGGGTGCAACAAGTGTGTTAACGTTGCAGAGTATGTATAGCACGATACAAGCATGATCAAGTAAAGATAAGGTGCAAGCGTGACAACTAATTTGGGCGGCACGTGATAAATCTCACGGGGTCATAGGTATGGTTGAAATGGCCAGATGCTCGGTTGCATGCCCCTTGGTTGTAGTCAAGTTGTAGTAAGGATCTAAGGAAGCGCTCAAAACAAAACACCCATCAACTATGGTCCGTGCACTGACAAGGGCATTTCCTTGGCATCTTTAGAGATTTACGTGCAATACGATGACGACACCTTCTCTGTACTTCCATTTCAATTTCTTCTGTCCGCAGATCGCGACACCACGTCTCCAAATGACTTTACTAGTGAAGAGTTGGAGGCAGATTTGAAGGAGAAGCTGCAAGGATAACCAGAGTTTGTTTGATGAGAAGTCAAGCTGCATGCGATGTCATTTGGTGGACGTACCCCGAGATTTCCTAATGATCCGTGTCAGTTGATGCATTTTGAATACATGAATAGAAGTATGTAAGGGTATCACTCTACATCGGCTGAGCTCAATGGTGACATCGAGAAATAAGTAACTAGAAATCCCATCCCCACCATTGCAACAGTGAGAGTCAATCGGTACCAAAGCGACGTGTGAAGTTGGCTATACAAAGTCCGCGTAGGAAACCAAAATCCTATGGGAGAGACGAACAAAGCGAACGCGAGAACAAACGAGATCGATAGGGTCAAAGCGCGTACAATGTAGGGTTTTACCCTGCCATCTTTGCAACGGTGAGTCCGATACAGAAAAAAGCCTATAACAAAGTGTTACTCACAAAGCTGTTGTAAATGTCTCGAAAAGACAACATTGGTCATGGAGAAACGGATGCGCGGTAAAAGACGGGGTCTAGAGAATGTCGAGGGAAGCCTCATCCTAAGAAATACGCCAAGTACGAAGCTAAACGTTCGAAACAGCTGCATTCCCACAAGAGCGTTGAGAATTGTAAACATGATTACAAGTGTCTTGCAACAGAGAAAATGGATATCATCCAAGACAGCTGGAAAAGCAGGAATATTCCTGGGGAGAGGCTGCCACTGCCAGAAAATAAACAGAGCAAATAACCAGAATGCTGTCCAGAGGGCCATGACCACCATTCCGAACAAAAACAAACTCGAAAACCCGATAAAAGAACCTCCTTAGTTAGTCGTCAGTAAAAGTTCACCAACGAGGTTATGAAATATTCAACCTGAGACAAGAACAGGCTCATAGTCGGCCACGAAGAAGGCTGGCCACACATCCGCTGAGCTGTCTTGGTACATTTCCAGACAGTAAGTCCTATCAACGCGAATGAGTTCGTTTTCGGGGGAAAGAATGTGGGACGGTGCGTACATTGAGCTAATGATGATTCCGAATATCCAATCTATGGTATTCGCTGCGGTGTTGAACCCGCCATAGGCAAGCGTCGCTTTTGTGAGCCCAAAAATGACCACAGTGATAGTCACAAAGATCCTGTTTGCAGTGATAATCGGAACTTTGCCATGATGGGGTTCCGTCCTCAACGCATCCAACGTTGGCTTTCTCAAATTCTTCGGAAATTTCGTGCCGGAGTAGTCCGTCTGGAAGAACCATTTCATGCGTTGTGTTTCTGGATCTTCAGATTTGTATAGTGAAAGAATGAAAAAGCTGTGAAAATGGATCAGCATGCGCTTAAAACCATAATTTATATGCACAGTACTTACAAGAGGAAAATAACGATACTGGCAATCCATTGGAGAGTGACGGAGACGATAGTTGTCCCAATGAACGAGGTAATTGCTTGGGCAATCCCAAAACCGATGGTGGTGAAGAGCACGAGAAGATCATATAAAGTGATTCGTGGGCGAGGAATCGCCTTCGTGAAAATAGACCCGTGTCGATCGTTGAATTCCGTTGGCTCCCCTTGTTCCGCGGACGTATCTTTGCGGTTCGGTGAGCGCTCAGCGCTCATGGGATGGTTGTAAGTATCTAAGGAGGCGCTCAACGTTCAACGTTCAACTCAGACACATAAACACGTGATATTGTGGTCCGTGCACTGACGGGTGAAAGGCCGGGACAAACAACTACAAACTGAATTCTTTCAGTAGATTTCTTGGAATGGCTTATATCTGAGCAAGTATCTACTCCCTACCATTAAAATCCTGGATTCAGGTGGGGACTGATAGTATTTACACTAATATGAGCAAAAGAAAAAAGGATTTCTGGGTTTTTATTGTGGTTTTTATGGTGCACAAAAACTGGGTGGTGTGTACTATACTATAGACTACAGTATAGGTTTATCTCTGTAAAACTGTGATGTACAACACCCACAAAACTCAGATGGCAAATTGGAAGCATTGTAAAAAATGCTGATATGATTTTGTGGGTACCTTACTCTTGTTCATTTTCTAAGGATTTTAACTGTTCTTGGAGACAGATGCACATATCAAGGGAAAGTAGTTCAGCAATGCACTCATGTGAAATTGATTGAGGTAAAGAATGGTAGATATGTGGAACTTTATAATGTTCAAGTGGCTGCTTTTTCAAGTTTGTGAGTGGATCTATTGAGAAACATTGTATGTACTGGAACCAATTTCAAAAGAATCAAAAATCAAAAACTCGGTTCCATAGTTCCATCCACCCCTAAGCCCTATACAGTCTCTTAGCTCAATGGAACTCTGTGCTTGTTTATGTGAGGTTGGCTGAGTTTAATCCCTTCTTGCACCTTTTTCCTTTCTGCTCTTTCATAGGGTTGAGCTCTCCCTTTGTAAAAATATTCATATAAAACATTGGTTTCCTCAAGTAATGTTGTGAACCACCAACTATTCCTTTAATAAAATAAACAACCGTCATTTATGTGGATTGATGTGTAACTTTCTTCTGATTGATTTCTCTCATATACATACCTAGCCAGCTCTCCATCCCATTTTTGTTTCTCTTGTTTTCATATTTCTGTACTTTTTCTAATGTACAGTATCAAAACTATCCACCTCTGGTTGGTGCGCCAAAAGGAGCAAGACCAATAATAATACTGTCCTATGAAATTTTTAACACCTCAAAAACTTCCTTTCGCTTCCACATTAAGATCAAAGTCCATCTCACTCCCTGATATTTATAGTTCGTAAATGTTAGGGTGTCCTCATTATGGGTGAACATCTCCATCTCTATGGTTGTCCACTGTGAGAGAATTGTGAGTATGAGGAAAGTAATAGCAACAGGGCAATGAGGCCTACTGGACTTCCAGACCTGAGTTGGCGAAGTTTGTGAGGCGACGAACCGCACGGCATGCGACGATCTGGATGAACTGTTCATAATGATAATAGGGTGGGCGGGGTTATGACGAACTGAGGAGACAATGACAGCGGGGACATTGATGATGGTCATGATCAGCTTGAGGTTAAGGAGCATGAATACGGTTGAGCAGAGGTTTGCCAGGAACCTAAAAGGGGGTGGATAGGTAAGGTATTTATTGCTGGAGCGAACTTGTATCAACTTACGCTATGGAGAAGAAGATCAACCCATCCTCGAATAGTGTTTGGAAGTCCGGTCTCATGACTGGAAAAAGACCGTAACCAGACCGGACCAAGACTGCAAAAGACCGGACCTGCGGTTACGGTCTTTTATTTTTGAAATGTAAAGACCGCAAAAAAACCGGTTAACGTGAACCGGTCTTCACCGGTTTGGACCGGTCTTTTGTAGCCCCTTAAATACCCTTTAAAACGCACCCAAGAACGTACGATTTGGTAAAGAAACGAGAGAGATATGAATTAAAATGTAAATTACTTTTGGGAATAATAGATGTACCAGACTTATTTTATAGAAGCACCAATTCCTAACGGAATTTAACGTTCTTGGGCTCGTTTTGAAGCTATTAGAGATGTTAATAAATTTACCGATTCATAATTTTAAAATATTGGCCTAAAGACCGGTCATAAACCGGTTAAAACTGATGCAGACCCAAACCGGTCTATAGACCGCAAAAAACCGCGGTCTGCGGTCTTTTTGTGGTCCGGTCTGGTCTTTTGACTTCTGGGGAAAAGGCAGACCAGTTACGGTTACGGTTAACGCCCCTGGGCATCAAAAAACCGGACCGAACCGGACTTTCAAACACTATCCTCGAATATCATTCGTCTGAGTCAGCTCCGACCAAGCAGATTCACCGTCTTGTCATGAAAATTGAGGAGCTTGTAAGTGTTGAGCAGGAGAATGATAAGGTCGAAACACATTGAGTAGATGAAGGTCGCAGCGAGGATGGTGTTGTTCGTTTGGGTGATGGCGCAACCCACGCCGTCGACCCAGGTTGCTTTCAGTTGGATACCTGTCAGAGGAAAATTCAGACCATGACAGGGGTTTGATAGCAACGTATCTATCTACCTTGTAAGATCAAGGACCAGTGACCGAGAGTGATTAGGATAAGGAGACTAATGATGTATTTATTTTGCGACCATATCGCCATCCTTTACAAGGAATTGATTTGACATTGTGAAGATGGGGGGATGCAACGTACGTTCAGATCGAAAGATTGATGTTTGCTAGACCCATTGCAGCACTGCCTGCAATTTGATTGAAAGTGTATAGGGCCTGGCAATCGACCTTTGAAGTAACATCCATGGAAATAATGCTGTGAATTAGGGCTCGTGGTCAGCTAAGCAGTTTTTTGAAAAGAAAAACTCAACAACTTACACCCCTACCAGTGCAAAAAGAAGGAGATATCTGTTCGCGAAGTAGAAAATCTAGACGATGATGAGAAGAGTCCGAGGGGTATGATGTAGAAAGGTACAACCATTGGCCAACAGAATTTCCTCCTTCCCAACAAAAAACCGAAATCGAAGTTTAGAGAAAGAACCCATTCGTATCTTGAGGTCGCAGTCAGGCCATATAGTTGATGTATAGAAACAGACGCACGCGTATACCCCCAAGAGAACATGGATGAGGTTGACGAACGCAGCTGCGCCGTTCTGTAGCTCTGCGGGTGATTTCAAGTCGGGCATTCTGGTCACGGATGTGGAGAAGTGGAGGAAGAGCAAAGAATTGGGGGAGGTGGGAGCAGTGGGGAGGTAAGAACAGCCTCCATATTGAACAATGCAAACATAGTAGCTTTTCCACCCTTCTCCCAGTTGGCCCTTCAAAGAAGTCATCTTGCTTGTGATCAAGATCATAGATACCAAACAGGTACAGACAACAAGGCTATATGGGGTTCGTCTCCTGATATATCTGAACCCTGAGCACCGGAACGCCTCTGACAGCGAACACAACACATTTATACCAAAAAAAAGTAGATATTCATATAGAAGAGAAAAAATATTATTGGCTTGTTAAAAATTTAAAGAATTCAATGTAGTGGTGAGGCAGAAATCGCGCAGCGGTGAAAAAGTTTCAAACACCTGAACAAACATAGTACCAGCACCTCGGCGCACCCTACGAGTCGTCAGTCACTGATCGTCACACATTTTGGCTGGACAAATTTTTCAAGTTGTCACCCGTTGTCACGCAACATCACGCTTGTCCAGCCAAAAATTGTGACGATCAGTGACCGCCGACTCATAGGGTGCGCCGAGGTGCTGGTAGGGCATAGTACAACTTGAAACAACGAGGCTATGTAAGTCGAGTACTTTTAGAGCCTGTTCAGCAACCAGAATCTGACAAGAATCTGGTTCAATTCTTCGTAGATTCCTTGAGCGTGACATTATATACTTGATAATTCCACTCGAACGGTGCGTCAGGCACCAGGAACGTTAGGCGGCAGGACTCAGAAATACACATGTAAGCACTTAGTATCTTTATACCTGAGGCTGGAATCATTGTCCAGTGGGTTTTACGAAATCTTGCGAGCCGCCAAGGTATCACGATTCACGACTTCTGCGAATTTGAATAATTCTTCTTCTTTTCATTTTTATTTTCGGATTCTGTCCCGGAGATTTACGTGCAACAAGCATTTTCCAACGTTGTAATCTGATTTCTGGAACTGGAAGTCGATGTACTAGCCATAGACACTACCCATTTATTTACTGTCTACACCGCTCATCTGACTTGCCCACGGCCTTCTCTGATGCTGTGAACACCATGTATTGTGTTCCGCACACGGCGTCTCTCGGACTCTCTCCTCGACGAGCTTTGGGCATAAGGTTGGTCGCCTTTTATTACCTTGGTTAACCTCTGCACTTAGCATATCCGATGACGACACATTGTCTGTACTTCCATTTCAAATTTTTTCTGTCCGCAGATTGCGACATCAAGTGTCCAAATGACTTTACTAGTAATCGCATTTCAAGTGTTTCTACTACATTGTTTCATATGTCATTGAGGCGATTCCGCTGTAATGTTTTGACTCTTTGTAAAAGTCTGGTCACTTTCCTTAAATCTTATCTTTACGAAGAAGAGCCTTAACTTGATTCCTTAACTTCACGGCGCATCATATCTAACAGCATCTAGTCCGAGTTTTCACGTAGGTGTCAGTCAAGTTGCAGCGCCGGATTCATGGTATATCCCCTCACGCCTCCCCCACCTTTTCCAAAGCCTGCAAAACATCCCTAACAAGATCCTCGCCTTCCTCCACCCCAACGCTCAGCCTAATCAACCCTTCCCCAATCCCCAACAACTCCCTCTCCCTCTCCGGCACACTCCCATGCGTCATCCTCGCAGGATGTTCCGCCAAACTCTCCACACCACCCAAACTCTCCGCCAACGTAAACAATCTCGCAGAAGTCAAGAACCGCTCAGCAGCTTCAAACCCGCCCCTGATCCTAAACGAAATCATACCGCTAAACGGGAACCCTTCCGTCCCTGGGTCTTCCAAAGGCCCGATAAACTTTCTCGCATGTGGGGAGAGCATCCGCCACGCCAATGCGTTCCTCTTATCCCCCTCCAATCCGGGATAAATCACCTCCTCGACGTGCGGGCTCGCTTTTAGTACTCTAGCCACCATCAACGCATTCTGTCCGTGCGCCTTCATCCGTAGATGAAGCGTCTTGGCGCCCCGCTGCGCGAGCCACGAATCATACGCGCTTGGAACTGCGCCGATCGCGTTTTGTAGGAACCGGAGTTTCTCGTGTACCGGTGAGTGGGGCGGGAGGATGAGTGCGCCCATGACGACGTCTGAGTGGCCGTTGATGTATTTGGTGAGACTGTGCATGACGATGTCGGCACCGAGGAGGAGGGGGGATGAGTAGAACGGGGAGAGGAAGGTGTTGTCGACTAGGAGGAGGGGGTGGGATGGATGGTTGTGGGCTATTTGGGCGAGGCGGGGTATGTCGATCAGGCGGAGGGTTGGGTTTGTGGGTGATTCAATCCATATTAACTGCCGAGAAGTTAGTCAGCCATCAGTCGAAATAAAAAGAAGAAATAGAATGAACCTTGGTATTCTCGCGGATCGCATCTTTAATGGTATCTTCATCCGCATGTTCTAGATCTACAAACGTCGTCTCCAATCCCTGGTTCTCATTGGCTACTCTTGTCATGTAACGGAATGTACCTCCATACACGTCGTTCACGCTGACAATGTGCGCATTGGGTCCCAGGGACTGGAGGACCGTGGCGGTTGTGGCGGAGCCAGATGCAAATGCAAGGGCATGTGCTCCCCCTGATTCAAGAGAGGCGAGGGTGGCTTCTAGGGCATTGCGATTCGGATTGGCAGAGCGAGAGTATTCGTAACCCTGTTGTAAGTTTTAGCGAGAGTTTAGAAAAAAAAAACGGATCATGCAAGCCCTGCAAGAACGGGCGGACCAAGGTTGACCCTCATCGAGTGTCATGCGCACTGATATGCCCCAACGTTCCAACAGTAAATAGGAAGAACCCACAACTCACCTTGTGAACACCGACCGCTTCCTGCTTGTATGTTGTAGACAAGGATATGGGCGGTATAACGGCACCCGTCTCGACATTGGGCTCAGAGCCAACATGGATTGCGCGCGTTCCAAAACCATCTTCGATCGCGTTAGCTTTGGCACCGTTCAGGACGATGGGGTCACTGTGGAAAACTGCTGGAGACATTGCGGCGATGGTAGTAAGTAAGAATGTGGGTCGTTGGGTATTGCCGCAATGTTTATAAAGGGCCCAGGGAAGAACCTGCAGAAGACGGAGAACCGGAAGACGGCCATGGCGAAATTGTCAAGTAAGCGCGATCGAATTTGCAACGATGGCGAGACAAGCCGTCACGTGCATGGTGCACAGTGCAGTTCGGCGAGTTACGGACCGGGAATTGTGCACTCTTTTAACGCTTTTACCCTCACGACTACTGTATGGAAAACATTTGCTGGCTTCAAGGGTTATTTAACAGCGACAACTTCCAGCAGCGAAGCGTGGAGACTTGACGAAGAAGATAAATGATGAATGTAGAACGGCTAAGTATCGTGAGTATGCCTAATGAGCGTCAATGTTCCTAATCCGAGTCAATTATCGCCGCTTAACACTAATCATCGACTACACAGCCTGCCTGCAGTAGATTGCCTTATCGTGAGCGTCACTACTGCATCCCTCTCCGATCTCCCACTCAGTCTCAGTCCTACGCGCCATGTTGAAGTTTTTCCGTAAGGGACGGAAGTCACTCTCCAGATTATCCTTATTCCAACGATTTCGCAAGCAGCCGAGTACAGACTCGGAGCTGATGTTTACGCAGTGGAATCTTCCACTCCCCCCCGATATCATGAATCACATCATCGACACCTACAACGACATTCCCACAGACATCCCTACAATTATCGCTCTAATCCAATCGTATCCAGTTCTCCAAGAGCTTTGCCTCTCAAAGTTATTTCAAAACTTGTATATCAGCTGTATGGCAGGCAGGACCTTTCCTGACTTCGAGTTTTTGGCCCATGTGATTCAAGTATATCCCTTCCTTCTCGACCGAGTGAAATCTCTTACGTTGGAAGGACCATTCGAGCGCAAGCAATTGACTGGCAGCTCTTACGTTCTCTCGCAGATTACAGAACGGAGTCACAACCTTGTGCGCCTTAGTCTCGCCCACAGCATCAGAACATGGGAGGAAAGCGATGAAACCTTGCGGAAACACATTCTCTGTCTTCTATCTCAGAACCGCCTGCACACCGTCAAACTGTGCTTCTACTGGATTCCCATCGAGCTGTTACATGATCTTCCGGATCTCAAGCGACTCGAGGTAGACCGTTTCCCAAACCGTCCAGCTTTGGATGTTGTGCCGGTTCAGGCGCGTCAAGTGAAGGTGGAGGAGCTTGCACTCATAGACGAGCGCATTCTTCTTCCCAAATCGCCATTCGACTTCTCTACCTTAAAGGTGTTTGAGGTGCACAGAGGTTATATGTCGGATATCCAGGAGATTATCAACATATCTGCTGCCTCACTTCGCAAGTTGGTCCTTGATGTTTGCAATAGTCAGAGTGCGTATTGTGTTTTCCCTCCAACAAACATCATGATGAATCGGGGGCCAACAGATATTAATCTTGGCGTCCTCTCCTGCCTCGAACACATCACATTAACTGTCCAAATTGAATCTTTTTCTTCACTGCATCTCCCAAATGGCGATGTTATTCAACAAACTTATCTCCCCCTACCACCGGCCCAACTCCAACTCATCCTGAAAACGTTGGCGACATGTAATCCCCACAACAGCATCAGGGAGATTCGCCTTGTCATCAGCCCATTGAATTTAGAAGATTTGGGTCCATGTGATTGGCTTTCCTTGGACTCATTTTTCGAGCATCCAGAGACTTGGAAAGCATTGAACGAAATGTCGATTTTCACAGTTCAGCACGGTGCAAATATTCACGAAGTCCTTTCTGAACATTTATGGGAGCAGATTGAGCATATCAAACTGCCTTGTCTAAAAGGAAGGGGAGTGACTGTCAACTGGCGTCAGTATGCGCCTGTTACAATGAACGTGTCCCCTCATTCACTCGGGTGGACAGGGACCCTCGCAAACACGCGAGGTCTTCGAATTACAAGTACCTACCTAAATACGTCGTAAAGTTTGAAATACATATTGTCACATGAAGCTATAGAACAATAATAAAGGGAAAACTATAGAGCATTGTTTTCACAAACGTGATCCGCTTGATATTCCAACAGCGCCATGGTAATCTGTAATGTGTCGGAATGTAGCGCAGAAAAGGTGGGTGTAGCCTGGTGGTAGTAGAACAGATAAGATAAGATAACTGATAAGATGACGTAATCCTTAAGTTGAAGCGCCGCCCTCACGAGACAAGATTATGAATCCAGACTACCATGCTTGCTCGCCGACAATTGTTCCACAAAACCATTCCTGCGCTTTTGCACAAGACTTGAAGTCCGTTGATCTCCTCCGCGGCAGAGCCATCATCGCATGAGCAGTGTTACTACGCTGTTGGCTGGCACCAGCCTGCACATGGTGATCGGTCCCATGTGTCTTCGTTTATGTGTTGCATTAATGATTCTCTGGATTCGCCGAGTTATTATGACCTAACGTGGTTAAAACAGATCTCTCGAGCTCAACGGCGCACCAGACCAACAGGCACAATAGCATGCTTTTTGTGTGGTGTGATTACCTCTAATTCATTTCTATCCTCCCTTGAAACTTGACTTCGCAGGTTGGCATATGTTTACACTCCAGGCAACAGGTGGGTGGAGTGAATCGCCCATACACCCGAAACAAGGGTGTAGGGGGCACCTGAGCGAAGAACTGCGCAAATCCTAGGACAAATGACTCTTGATTTAGCTTATTGTCTGGGCACCTGACAGATAGTGAGGACCGCAACGCCTTTCTTTCATACGAACAATAAGCAAAAAACAATCACTTGTTAAACCATCTGTCAATGCTTCGCTCCAAGATGCCATGTCGCGGACTCAGTATTCGATCGGCCTCAGATGAGATAAGAACGTCCTTCGTTGCTCCAGAGCCAGGAAGTTGCAAAGTACATGCGACTTCGTATTCCTCATTCGTGTCTTGAGTGCGGTTGGAGTGGGGAGGTGCGATTGTTGTGGATCCAGGTAATGTGAGGCAGAAGTACATGGTTGTAAAAATCAGATCCAACTGACTTGGGGGCGAAGTCGAAGGTTTTGTACTTGTTTCGGAATGTTGCCATTGAAGGTACATGTAAATCAAAGCCTCCTCGGGAAAGTCAGTATCGCATTTCGGATTCGTTTAGACAGACACAAGTATCCCCCGTTGTCGTCGGGCTTCCTTACGGCCATCACCTCAAGCAAGGGCGTTACAAGTTGAAAGACGTGCGTGACAGACCATGTAAAAATATCTTTGCTGTTCGCATGGCTGATGAAGTCCTCGCCAGATCCTACTTTAACTCCTTATTGTGTTCGAAATCCAATCGAAATCTTGAACCTGCCCACCACCGGAAGTAACCGCAAAACTTGATCAGACCTTTCAGCTCGACGAATAATTAAGCTAAATGTTGTGTTCTTCACATCATCTTTCAGGCGCTCCGCTCAATTGACCAATTGTCCCTCGCAGCGGGTACATGGTGCCGTACTTTGGAAGTACTCAAAGCGTCCGAACGGTCGTAACGGCGTGTTATTACACTTAACGCCCTGAATACTTACCTGGTTAGCACTGCAAGGGGCGGAATATAAGCTTAATCCCGATTATACTTGACGCCGGTTGATTTTAATTCCGTCACTAGCGCCGGTGAGTGACGCATTCATGGCTATATGTTAGTCAAATCTTAGATGAAAGTACTAGGGTCCAGGGTAGCTACTCCAATTACGGCGAGGTCTCCATATTCTGCTTTAAACAACAAGGAGTTCAGTGCCAGGTATAAAGCATATAACTCTCAACTTCATTAAACCTCAAGCACTAACATGCAATCGGGAGCTTCTTGCGAGTCGTGTCTCCTTTCCCTAGCACTGTGCACTTGCTACTTGACGCCATCCCAACCACCAGGTACGCAATCGTTCTACAATGCCTTGCTTGTCGCCTTACTACCGCCCGTCACAGCATTCCCAGAGGGTAGTACCATCAACTTTAATCATGCCGGGAGCTCGAGAGGGCAGCCACAGACGTTGCCTGCTGACTCCACCCGGTTCAACGTCGACACGGCGGAAGCGGCCCCTCAACCTCTGTTCGCATCACCAGGAAAAAGTGGTTGGCCTACATTGAATTCTCTCCCGCTACTAGGTACGCAGTGGCTCTACGACGCCCTCGTCTGATGGACTTAGCCATATCATGGCCTGTTCTGGTAACGCAAGAGAGCGACATACTAATCAACCCAACTGGGTTTGCAGGAGAGCAACCGTTGATGATGCCTACGAATCGGGGGGTTCATTCCGAGGTTGGGACTGAAAAGAGGCCTCGGCCAATGGTAGCATCGTCAAGACAGCTATCCGCCGCAAACAGACGTAGGAAAAACGCGGTCACTCCTGGACGGTTTGTATGTAATTTGTGTCCGCAGGATTTTACTGCCAGGCACAATTTAAAAAGTCAGAGTTCAATTGCATTCCGTTTTTTCTTCTGTTTCGCGACTGCGTCTGATAGTTTTTGAATAGATCATATCGATTCCCACTTCCAGAGAAAACCTCACCATTGCTTGGGAGGCTGTGGGAGTAGCTTCGGGACGAAGTCCTCCATGAACCGCCATCGTAAGACGTGTAAAGGGAAAAAAAAGCTGCTGGGTGCGTAAGTATTCTGATCCCTCCGAAGGTTGGTCGCATAGGCCGTTTTGAAAGAGTTTTTCTTTTTGGCGCATTCGTTTTTCTGTAGTCTCCAGTCCGAACGCTATCTCTTGTTCGTGGATATTTTCTAATTAAGACGCTCGCGTAATGTAATGTTAGTTTGTATGTATGTACTTATGTAACTCTCCTGCCGTCGACTATTTCATCCATCAACAAAGGTCTGAATCGGCCGCCCGATATCAACGCAACAACAACAGCGATGCGTGTACAAGGACACAAAAACACGCACGACGGTGGCGGATTGGGCGACGGCGTGAGAGGGCTAGCGTAATTAACCCTCGAGATGGGAAGATAGGGAAGTTGACAGCAAGGAAGCCGATCGATGATCTGTCAACGGGAGTGACGTGGTGGCCGGGGTGGTTTTAGCGTGCTAAAACGTGCCCGCCGAATGTTAGTCGAAGTTTGGGAGGCAAATTTCTCCTAGAGACACGGAGTGACCAAAGAACAAAGAGGCCTCATTGGTTGACACAATAAGAATTGAGGTAGGTGGGAAAAGTCGTCTATGTCCTTCCTACCCTCTCCACTTACTGAATCCACTTCCGATATGCCCGCAACCCATACCTCGTGTCGGAAGTTCTGAAATTCAGTGTGAAAGCAGGGCAAGATCAGAGGCGTGGGACATAAAATGCATAAAATCTGACGCTAGCGCTGAGGTAATCATCCGCCTGTGGTTCGCCCAGCCTAGTATGAAACTTGCCCACCACTCTCAAAGGCTCCTGGCAGTTGTCGCATGAAAATACAAGGTGAGAGCCTTGAGATCTTGAGACCCAGCTATGGGCAACTAAGGCTTCGGCTTTCCTCTAGGTGGCGCTCGTATGTTTGATGGTAAGCACTCACATGGCAGCGTCATTCATTTTTTTAACAACCAGGGTTCAAGGGAATATGCAAGGGGCATGCAACCGAGCATCTGGCCATTTCAACCATACCTATGACCCCGTGAGATTTATCACGTGCCGCCCAAATTAGTTGTCACGCTTGCACCTTATCTTTACTTGATCATGCTTGTATCGTGCTATACATACTCTGCAACGTTAACACACTTGTTGCACCCTCAGATTTAGACCCTCAGCAGACCCTGTCATAAAAAAGTGGCCACAGTATTCCAGTAGGTAGAGAGATGAAATCATTATCCTCCCCCACCTTCTCTCTTTTTCTAGCTCATGCCGAAAGCACTTGTTCCGCTCACGATCCCAAAGGCTATTTATTAGATTGCCTGGTGCTCCCGAAATTCTGACCACTATAGATCAGAACTGTTATCACATTATTCGTTGTGATGTTTGCAATTTTGATGTTACCCTCACAGTTACTGCACATCCTCGGTCTTTCTTCAAGCATTGGTGTGGCACTACATGTTTCAGACTCCAGAGAAGCCAAGGGTTTCCAGATCTAAAACCTGTTGTCCAACCAATTCCCATCCTTCTAATTACGACACCCGAAAACCTTTCAGAATGAGGCATACAAATTTCTTGCCCTGGCGAGTCCGTCAAATGGCTTTCCGGAAGCGATAACATCGAGATGCTGAAGGAGGATCTGAAGCAAGAAAGAGCGCCAACAGTTAGTGTTGTTGGACCAACTGGAAAGAAGAGACGGTAAAGGCGTAGATTACAATCTGGCTTGATAATATCAGCGTGACACGATGTGACTGGAGTGTGCTCATGTATTAGTTCTCACGGGGTCATAGGTATGGTTGAAATGGCCGGATGCTCGGTTGCATGCCCCTTGACTACAACCATCACATGAGCGCTGCGCGACACGGGTCTATTTTTACGAAGGAGCTTCCTCGCCCACGGATCACTTTATATGATATTCTCGTGCTCTTCACCACCATCGGTTTTGGGATTGCCCAAGCAATTACCTCATTCATTGGGACAACTATCGTCTCCGTCACTCTCCAATGGATTGCCAGTATCGTTATTTTCCTCTTGTAAGTACTGTGCATATAAATTATGGTTTTGAGCGCATGCTGATCCATTTTCACAGCCTTTTCATTCTTTCACTATACAAATCTGAAGATCCAGAAACACAACGCATGAAATGGCTCTTCCTGACGGACTACTCCGGCACGAAATTTCCAAAGAATTTGAGAAAGCCAACGTTGGATGCATTGAGGACGGAACCCCATCATGGCAAAGTTCTGACACTGCAAACAAGATCTTTGTAACTGTCACTGTGGTCATTTTTGGGCTCACAAAAGCGACGCTTGCCAATGGCGGGTTCAAAATCGCAGCGAATACCATAGATTGGATTTTTGGAATCATCATTAGCTCAATGTACGTACCGTCCCACATTCTTTCCCCGAAAACGAACTCATTCGCGCTGATAGGACTTACTGTCTGGAAATGTACCAAGACAGCTCAGCGGATGTGTGGCCAGCCTTCTTCGTGGCCGACTATCAGCCTGTTCTTGTCTCAGGTTGGATGTTTTACAACCGCGGCAATAGATTTTTACTGACGACCAACTCAGGAGGTTCTTTTATCGGATTTTCGACTGTGTTTTTGTTCGTAATGGTCGTAACAACCATCTGGACAACGTTCTCGTTACTTGCTCTATTTCCTTTATGGAAGTGGCAGCCTCCCCCTAGAAATATTCCTCCTTTGCCAGCCCTCTTGGATGATATCCACTTTCTCTGTTGCAAGACACTTGCAATCACGTCTACAATTTTATTCGCTGTTGGAGGAATGTGGGTCTTCCTCGGAACGTATTACCTCATACTTGGTGATTTCCGTTGGATGAGGCGTCTCTCGACAATCTCTAGATCCCGTCTTTTACCGCGCATCCAGTGCTTCTCCATGGCCAACATTTTTTTCTCGAGATATTCCCAACAGCTCCATTAACTGTGTGAGTAGAATTTTAAGCTTTTTCTGTATCAAGCTCACCCTTGCAAAGATGGCAGGGTAAAACCCTACATTGTACGCGCCTTGACCCTATCCATCTCGTTTATTCTCGCGTTTGTTTTGGTCGTCTCTCCTATCGGATTTTGGCTCCCTACGCGGGCTTTGTATAGCCAGCTTGACACGTCGCTTGCATACCGATTGATTGTCACTGTTTTAATGGTGGGGTTGGGATATTTAGTTGCTTATTTCTCGATGTCACCATTGAGCTCAGCCGATGTATAGTGATACGCTTACTTTTATTCATGTATTCAAGTTGCCTCAACTCGGGATAGTAGCCTAGGTTAAGCTTGAAAGTTCTCCAGAGTTGAGTCAAGATTTCAATCACATCTTATCTTATCTTACACACATTCGTCAGCAACCTTGCTTGACTCATCACTACTTCAATGTCCAACCCATCGATCCTTGCCACAATCGCCAGCGAAGGGCTTACCCAGCACAAAGTCTACTGGTTTCATGATGGTTCATTAGTCTTTCGTATTCAAAATCATCTCTTCAAAGTCCACCGCACACTAATATCCCGGCACTCCCTTTTTTTCGCTTCCAAAATCGCAAAATACTCCGCGGATGACGTTGTGGGTTCTAACGTAGCAAAGATAGCGGATGGGATGTGCATCTACATGGACGTGGAACGTGACGTCAGTGCGAACGACGTGGAGGCATTGCTTGGGCACCTGTACCATGATGTGTAAGTTCGTCCACCATGCTTTCCAATCGTTATCATCCCCTCTTCGAATCCCACGAACCTGGGATTTGTTTTCCAAAAGCTCATTCTTCTCGTTGCCAAGCCCTTTAGGTCGAAATCTTCCATTCCAACGTGTAGCTTCGGTTATTCGTGCGTCAAGTCCTAACCAGCTAGACTTCCCAAACATCCATTCTGTTGCCCTTGAGAGCTTGGAAGCCATGTTTACAACCTACCCCGAATCATTTTCGCTTCTTCATCCCCTGCACGAATCCCTGAATTTGGCTACAAAGTATAAGCTTCCATTAGTGAGTAGCACCTTCTTCATTGTCATTGACAATGACAGAGATATAAGTCTAGGTACGCAAAGCCGTGTTCTACAGCCTCGTGACCACCACGAATTTCGACATTGAGGAAAGGGCTGACAAGGGCCCTACGGTGGACCCTATTGAGGACCACACCTGCGGCATCTTGTCCGAATCCGACGCCTGGCTCTGCCGGAGACTCTTGGCCCACATCATCGACCACTTTACCCCCACACTATTCACCCCCGCTACAACGGCACATATGGCTTGCACAGATGTGTTCGCGGACATGTGGATGCCGCTCGTTATTACGCCTGCATTAGCGGATGATGGCGTCTACAAGCCCCTTGAAACTCTGGAGAGGATTAAATCCATTGATTGGGCAACGAAGGGGTTGTGTGCGTCGTGTCTCATAGAGAAACGGCAGGAATGGACTGAGGAACAATATACGGTGTGGCGGCTGATAAGTGGGTGGCTGGAGAAGTTGGATGCTCAGACTGCGAGAAAGGGAACATGAGGTAGGTCCATGTCTGACTTCTCCCGGATGCCGAAATTCTCAACCACTTCTAAATGACACAGATCTGGAACTTTCTAAAAAACGCTGTCGATAAACTATGGGTCTAGTCCCGATTAAACTCAAATTCTGCACGTATATGTCGTGTATTCACATCTCAAACCCCCTAAAAACTAAATGTGTTCAGGACACCTGGAAACAGCTGGCGAGTCGATTCATATGTATCACGAGGTTACCTTTTTACTATTTCGCGAGTAGAGCAAAATAGTGGCCGGGTCCCCTTATCTCCGCCAAGTCGTAGATCCATAGTCCGACAGCACGTTTTGTACGCCCACAATCTACGCAATTGCATAACCGAACTCAGCCGGGTGTGGAAACATACAGGTTCATTTATCACGTCTTTATTTTACACTCAGCCGACTCAGGTATCGCCTTGCGGCAATTTGGTATTCCCTGTCGTCTTACTTGCATCGACCACACCTTCAACGCCCACGGTTGCCACACAACGCCGTACCGACCTCCAACAACGTACGTTCATTTTTCTCCAATTAAGCTCGCTGAAACTCTTTGACTGGCTGACGCCGCCAGCTACTAGCGCTTTGAAGTGACAATGTTATAAATATCGATCTGTAGGCGCTCCTGGCATGGCATTTCTATCCGGATCCATTGTCATGGTTAATTTATGTTCTTTTCTCGAATAGAATCCTGTCTCCCATATCCGACACTGGGCCTGATGACGACGCCACCTGTATCCTCGATGGAGCCCACAGTTTCACCCACCACCTCAACGCCGGGACGAATATTACATCTGATGATGGTCGCCCACAACGCTGCCAATGTCCAGTAACTCCGAGTCCGTACTTGGCCATTCCTGATAGTTGAGCGGATCGCCTCTTATAAAGCCTTTGACAGTTGCCAGTTTCGACTACTTATACTCCCATAAACCCCGTTATGGGAACCCTCGATTCTAAACTCACACTATCTGATCCTACTTCCCCTCAAATATCGTCCCGTGTGCGACGCTTGAAGTGGAGTATTTTCGAGATCGCTTATGAGGCCCCCCGACCACGGGGTTTTTCGAGTCTGCAAACAGCTTTGTTCCAGTTCCGCGTCCTGGCTATGGATGGTCGCACTCGCGCTTCTGTTTGGTTATTCCAGGAGTTATTCAACATGGCGCCGGTGGCGGTTACAATTTATTTTGCGTCCTTGTTGTGGATGTCCTTAGCGCCTGCGTTTTCGTTGTGCATGGGACATCGGGTGCTTTCTCTTGTGAGCGATTTATTATCTCTTTGGACTCTGGCTGTTGGTTGAGTGTTACTTTCTGCATAGGTTCAGGCGGGCCTTTCGGGAGATTGGTTGGCCGAGGAAGCCCGCCCTTTACTCCAATCACTAGTCGTGACCTGGCTATCAATCCCGCTGATCACGGCCCTTGTTGAGAAAGTCATGTACGCCACGCCTGATTGAATGACATCTAAAACCTAAATCTATATTTTAGTGACGATGAGAAACATATCATAGGAGGCTATCTTAGACGCCATTTCCTGCCCCGCATGGCAGAAGGTAAGCTAATTCCGCGCCATACCTTCGTCTCTATTGACATTGTTACAAGCCAGCCTCAGTATGGACATGTCCTACCTTCAAGGTAACTCCGCTTCCGTCGGACTACTACATGGTAGCGAAAATTAATGGAGTTATAGATCATGAGGCCCGGGCGTCTTTACCCCAACCGTGGGCGTTTGGCGAAATTACGCCTGGATGGGATTTCGTTTACGAATTCTCGACGCGTATACAGAATATCATCACCCTCTTCGCCGAAATCTTTGTCCTTATCCGGATTATCACACAGACGGGCAGTCCGGACGCGGAAATTTTGTCCACACTTTGTGTTTTGTTTTTGGGAGTCATGTTTCTGGCTCCGTCGAATGGCGTCGGAGGAGCTGGTACGCTGTCATTTAGATTATCTACTTGGAGTTTTACCGCTCATGCTTTAATGCTACAGGTTATACTTTCTGGACGACGAATAAGCACTACCACCGGCTAGGAACGCTTTATACGATGATATTCGATGAAAACTATCGACAAACGATCGCCAAAGATGGGCTGAGTTCATATCTACAAACTGGTATTTTCTCTGCCTGAAATGAATCAAATTTAATCTGATAACCTTTTCAGAATTCAAGGACACGTCCGACTCACTTGGGGTCGTAAGAGCGAATACATTAAACCTTGCTTGTTATCTTCAACCACCTTGGTATTGGTCTTTCATGCGCAGTTTGATTATCGACTATCCTATGGTATGTTTTATTCTGCGTCTGGCGTAAAAACATAGCTTATCGGCCCTCAGGCTCTTTATGCATTATTCCTTTCGTTCTCGTCATTTCCGGCGTCTTTGTTGAAGATGGTCCTTTTCCAATATATCACTTGCACGCTAAAACAAAGTATTGACTGTCTCCGAGGGGCAGGCGACCCAGCCCCCCTTTGGGACATTATGATCAAAGCCGAGAAGCTTTTCAAAGTCATCCAGTCTAACTCACGAATACTTAAACCGACGCGGACGTATCCTGACCCCGTTCTCAGCTCAAATAAAGGAATGAAAATATCCATGAAGTGCGTGCTAGCCTTTGTAACTTCACCCACGCAGTTTTTATTCCCTTATTCTTTGGCCCAGAAATGTATCATTCCACTACCCAGGTTGCCAAAACCATCCCAGCGTCTGCAACGTCTCCCTCACCATTGAGCCCGGTCAACTAGTCGTCCTCGTGGGCGTCAACGGCAGCGGCAAGACCTCCCTCCTCAAGCTCATCGCCGGACTCTCGTGTGCATGCGGGGGTGAAATCGAAATCGACGACCATCCCGTGCACGAATATGATAGCCGCCATTTGCGCCGTTCTATGGCGTTCATGACATCGTCCGAAGATATTTACCCCGTGTCGTTACGCGAGAATATATTGATGGGGTTGGATGATTGTGGCTTCGAATTGAGTGACGTTGCTGAAAAGATCGAGGAAGCCGCGCGGCTTGGGGGGGCGTATGACGTTGTTCAACGACTAGGGCAGGATGCCATTCTGAATCCTTGTCGGGTTCTCGGGCAGAGTCTGCGCGGGTGTGGGAATGGAGAAATTGGGGACGCTGCGCTCAGGGAATTGGATCTCCATTCGCCCGCTTTGAGTAATATCACTATTTCTGCTGGTGAGAGGCAACGGATTATCGCGTACGTTTTATTCGTGAATATATCGTGATTTCGCTCTTGACGTTTTGCTACTTTATAGGTCGCGGACATTTATGCGGGTGAAGCATGGTGATGTTAAACTAGTGATATTGGATGAGCCAACATCTGCGTTGGACTCTATGGCTGAACGTGATTTCTTCAAACGTTTTCGTGAGATCGGGAATGGGAAGACGATGATTTTTGTGACGCATCGGTTTGGAAGCATCGTGAAAAATGCTGATATGATTTTGTGGGTACCTTACTCTTGTTCACTCGTTTTCTAAGGATTTTAAATGTTCTTGGAGACAGATGCATCGATGGAGGGAAAGTAGTTCAGCAAGGCACTCATGCGGAATTGATTGAGAAGAATGGTAGATATGCGGAACTCTACAATGTTCAAGCGGCTGCTTTTTCAAGTTCATGAGTGGATTTATTTAGAAACATCGCACCTATGTATGTACCTAGTTTACATTAGTCGGTATAATTATCCCTATTACTGCGGCTCATTGGCGGCTCACTATTATTGTTTTCTACGCTTTTTTGAATCGAACATTGAAACAGTTATGTCAGAACAGTGCAGTAATGCTGACTCTGCGCTGTCTGTCACCCTGGAAGTGAAACAATGATTCCGGGACTTGTAAAATTTATGTGAAATGATATGATACTTAACTCTCTTCTGATTTCTCTTGTTTCCAAACGTCTGTACTTTTTCTAACGTACAGTATCAAAACTATTCATCTCGAGAATGAGGAAATTAATAGCGACAGAGCAATGAGGCCTACTGGACTTCCAGACCTGAGTTGGCGAAGTTTGTGAGGCGACGAACCGCGCGGCATGCGACGATCTAGATGAAGTGTTCATAACGATAATTAATAGGGTGGGCGGGGTTGTGACGAACGGAGGAGACAATGATAGCGGGGACATTGATGACAGTCATAATCAGGTTAAGGTCAAGGAGCATGAACACGGTTGCGAATAGGTTTGCCAGGAACCTGAAAGGGGGCGGATAGGTAAGGTGTTTATTGCTGGAGCGAAATTGTATCAACTTACGCTATGGAGAAGAAGATCAACCCATCCTCGAATAACATTCGACTGAGTCGGCTCCGACCAAGCAGATTCGCCGTCTTGTCATTGAATTTGAGGAGTTTGTAAGTGTTGAGCACGAGGACGATAAAATCGAAACACATTGAGTAGATGAAGTTCGCGGCGAGGATGGTGTTGTTCGTTTGGGTGATGACGCAACCCAAGCCGTCGACCCAGGTTGCTTTCAGTTGGATACCTGTCAGAAGAAGATTCAGACCAAGACAGGGGTTTTATAGCAACGTATCTACCTTGTAATATCAAGGACCAGTGACCGAGAGTGATTAGGATAAGGAGACCAATGATGTATTTATTTTGCGACCATATCGCCATCCTTTAATAGGAATTAATTTGACGTTGTGAAGATGGAGTGATGTAAACTACGTTCGGATCGAAAGATTGATGTTTGCTAGACCCATTGCAGCACTGCCTGCAATTTGATTGAAAGTGTATAGGGCCTGGCAAGAGACCTTCGAAGTAACATCCACGGAAATAATGCTGTGAATTAGTGGGCTGCGCCGGTCAGCTTAGCAGTTTTTTAAAAGAAGAACTCAACGACTTGCATCCCTACCAGGGCAGAAAGAAGGAGATATCTGTTTGCGAAGTAGAAAATCTGGATGATGATGAGAAGAGTCCGAGGGGTATGGTGTAGAAAGGTACAACCATCGGCCAACGGAATTTCCTCCTTCCCAACAAAAAACCGAAATCAAAGTCTAAAGAAAGGACCCATTCGTATCTTGAGGTCGCAGTCAGGCCAAGTAGTTTATGCGTAGAAACAAACAGACGCACGCGTATACCCCGAAGAGAACATGGATGAGTTTGACGAACGCAACCGCGTCGTTCTGCAGCTCTGCGAGTGATTTCCAGTTGGGCATTCTGGTCGCGGATGTGGAAAAGAACCAAGGACAAACCAAGGAAATTAAGGGAGAGGAGAGATTTTAAGGAGGTGGGGGTCAGCCTCTATATCGAACTATGCAATCACCGTAGCTTTTCCACCCTTCTCCCAGTTGGCCCTTCAAAGAAGTGACCATTTCGTCGTGGTTTTGTCGGAAAAATACGATTGGCCTTATAGTAAGTAATGGGAAGCAATAGGTGTCACATAGTCACGAGAGTTTGACAGCGGCCATTCCCGAGAGGCATTTTGACGGGGCTTTTGCCATATGCAAGAGCCCACCGGTTTTTAATTTTCTTTCTCCAAAAATGTGCATCTAGGAAGTAGAGTACTTTACGGGATAAATCTATGTAAAACAGATCAAGACAAATTTATTTACAAATTTGTTGCAATTTTGGATAGAATTAATGGAACACAGTCCAGATCTTGATACAAGTGCAGCTTTTTCGCACATGAAGGTCAGGAAAATGTCAGGGAATAGCATACCAGTAAGTCGGGTATTAGCATTTTATACCGACGCGCCCTCCTACTACTCGGACTCAGAAAACCGCCAATCGGGGGAAGCAGGAAAGAAAGGCTGAGCTTGATCACGAGTCACCAGTTATCAAGCCAAGTGTGGATGAACTCGGTATCCAGCGGAGGGCCATAGCACTGCCAGTGCCAAGAACAGGCTGTGGGGGAAGAGCCTCGAGGCCAACTCGAGGCACCTCTATATCAAGGTCGGTGTTTCAAGAAGCCATTCCTGTCGCAGTCCAGTGTCACGACTCGAAGGAGTTCCTTACGCCCGCAAATCAACGATATCGGGAAGGGGCTATGAGTAGAGATAAGAACTAAAAATATAGGATTTGCGCCCTGCCCAGAAATAGAAATAGAGTCCCGGACCGCGAGTTGCCGAAATGTCACTTCCTGACCCTTCGGTTGTGCTGTCAGCGTTCTGTTGTTCTTTCTCCACGACCACCACCTGGCACCACCACCAACGTTCATTCATTTCTCGCCGTCGTGAGCATGTCTGAAGGGCCGTCGTACGATCACCAGACGACGACCATGAACATGGACAACAATGTCGTCGCTGCTTCTACGCACTCAAATCAGCCCCTGACAGAGGAAAATGTCACCGCCACCGAGGGTGACGACGTCCCACAGAGTCACGACGACCGACCATCCTTGCACGCCGCCCCTGCTGTGCAAGAAGAGTATTTACCATCGTCCTCTGTTGAACACTCATCACCACCGTCCTCTTACGAGGATACGGCTGTCGACCACCAAGCGGCCGCAAACCACTTGGCGCCAGGGTCCACCGACCTTCTTTCACCGCCAATCGCCACCGCTTCTGACCACCTTCCACAGGGCGCTCAACCGCCCGTCATCGTCAACCGAGCGGCAGACGATTCACCTGTTCCCCAATCAGGCGACTTACCCCCCTTCCGCCAGTCCGATTACTTCCTAGGTCCTGCGCCCGCCTTCCTGCTGTCTGAACGCTCGTCTCTTACAGCGGACTCTCTAAAAGCTCTCAGTGGTCCGACAAGTAATAATGCCTCGAATGAGGAGCAACCACTTGCCTTGGCTGCGGGTGGCGTGGCGGGGGTAGAGCCTGAGGATAAGGAGGCTCTAGGCGACTCAGCGACTGAGGAACCCACCGCGTCGAGAGGAAAATCAAAAGGGGGTAAACGGAGGTTGATGATTGGGTTGGGCGTCTTGGCTGCGATCCTTATCATCGTCTTGGTGATCGTTCTTTCCGTTTATTTCACGGTTGTGAAAAAGAAGGATAATGTTGATGCGAGTGCTGGTTCGTCGGGTGGATCGCCGACTGGGACTGGGACTGCTCCGAAGCCTACTGCGACGGGCAAGGCTGGGAATCATGTCGTTAGTGTCCTTCTTGGTTCGTTGTCTGAATTTTTTTTTCTGACTCTCTTTCCGTAACAGACGGGCGGCGATGGCTCCACGGTAACGTTAGCCAACGGCACGACGTTCACGTACACTAACCCCTTTGGTGGATTCTGTAAGTTGCCTCCCCGTCCCCTTCCATCACATCACCACTGACGTCACGTTCAGGGGTCCAAGATCCATCAAACCCATTCAACAACAACGCGCAACCAAACTCGTGGACGCCCCCCCTCAACACGTCATGGGTGTGGGGCCAAAACAGGGTATACGGGGTGAACCTTGGTGGATGGCTCGTTTTGGAACCGTTTATTTCCCCGTCATTGTATCAGAGGTATCCTAGTGCGGTGGATGAGTATACGTTGAGCACGCTCATGGCGGCTGATACGGCTAATGGGGGGTTGAAGCAGTTGGAGCAGCATTATGATACGTTCATTGTGAGTTTTCTTTTGTTGTTGTTGTTATTATCTGTGGGGTGTGGACTGACTTTGGTGCTTAGACTGAGCAAGATTTCGCTGAGATCGCTGGTAAGTTTTGAACTTTTTGTTGGTGTTGATCGTTAACTGATGCTACTGATAAGGCGCGGGACTTAACTGGGTTCGCTTGCCTATACCGTTTTGGGCCGTCGAGACCTGGCCTGGGGAACCGTACCTCGCAAAAACTGCATGGACGTAAGACCTTCTCATCATCGGTTTATCGATTTAGTTGATTGAGGAACGTTGCAGGTACTTTTTGAAAGCAGTACAGTGGGCACGAAAATACGGTCTTAGGATATACCTCGATTTGCATACCGTTCCTGGGTCACAAAACGGTGCGTTTATCAACAGATTTTTCATGTAACTTTGTCCTGAAACTTTTCATAGGCTATAATCATTCTGGTCGGTTAGTAGTCTTTGCTATTTTCTTCCACCCTATCACGCCGCTTATCTCCTACTTTCCTTGAACAGTGGAGGCAAAATCAACTTTTTAGAAGGCAACATGGGGCTCGCCAACGCCCAACGAACCTTATACTACATCCGAGTTATAACCGAGTTTATCTCGCAGCCGGAGTATCAGGACGTCATACCCATTTTTGGGATTGTGAACGAGGCGGTGGAGCAGTCGATTGGAATCAATGCGTTGACGAGCTTTTATCTGGAGGCTCATGATATGATTAGGAATAATATTACTGGGAAGGGGGCGGGACATGGCCCGGTATGTTTCATTTCCTTTTTCTCGTCTTTTGGTGCTGGAGCCTGAAGTTTTGATTGTTTAGTACATCGCGATCCACGACAGCTTCCTGCCCGGAACGATGTGGACTGGATACTTACAGGGTTCGGATCGGATTCTAATGGACACTCACCCGTATTTCTCTTTCACGGGTGAGGCGAACCCGCAGCCTTTGGATGTGAATGGGGCCCAAGGTCAGCCGGGTGGACAGTGGCCTGCCGAGGCGTGTGCTGCGTTTGGTCCGCGGGTTGATGATAGGTATGCTACCTTCCTTGGATTCCCCAAATTTGGAGTGCTGATGAATGTGATTGTGATTGTAGTCGGCAGAACTTTGGCGTCAGCGTTGGAGGCGAATTCTCCGGCTCCCCTAACGACTGTGGGCTGTTCGTGTTGGGCGTGACTGGCACGGCGCTAACGCCGGGATGTGATACGTACGATAATTGGGCGAGTTATACTGCTGCTATGAAAGCTGGCGTACAGAATTTCATCGAAGCCCAATTTGATGCGCTTGGTGACTGGTTCTTCTGGACTTGGAAGGTTAATTTTTTTCCTCTTCCCTTCCACTACGAGCGAAGCTGACATTTGAACAACTTACTAGATCGGTGCATCACAAGTATCAGGAAACATCGAAGCCCCCCTCTGGTCCTACCAACTCGGCTACCGCAACGGGTGGATCCCCACCGATCCACGGGTAGCCGTAGGCAAATGCGCCTCCCTCTCAGCACCCGCCGGATCCTTCTCCGCGTATCTACCATGGCAAACCGGAACACCATCCACCATCCCCGCGTCATCCACCGCCTCCTTCCCCTGGCCTCCGACGACGCTGAATAATTTGGACGTGGCGATGACGCTGTTGCCTACGTATACGAATACGGCGCCTTTGATTACGATGCCGCCGCAGAGCTTTTCGGGTGCGCCTGCGCAGGTTACGAAGAGCGTTGATGGGTGGTTTAATGCCCAGGATACGGATAAGGGTGTTACGGCTGTTTCGGGGTGCACGTATCCGGATGAGTATATTGCGACGTTTGCGGTTGTGCCGACTGCTGCTTGTACGGGGACGTGATGATGGACACCTCGTGGATGTTCGAACACGCACGCGCCTCTGATTGGACTTACGATTCACGCTTTGCTTTTTAGGATTCATAATGACTGTTTGTGAACTGTATTGGACTTGGACGTCGACTTTTGCTTTCGATCTTTTGCTACTTTTTACCGGAGGACTGGAACATTCAATATTCAATACTTACATACTTACATACCGATATCGTACTCACTTACTTACGATTCACTTTCATATCATTCTAGTCATTTACGCTCTCTTTCCTTGTACTTTCTACATGTAGTCGAGATCACAGCGTGACATTTCATGGCTTCCATCTCTCCCTCTCTCACCACACCAACAACACAAAACCGCAAAGCCTCCTCTTCCTCATGGACACCACAACCGCGCAATCCGATTTCACAGAGGCTATACAAAGTCCTCAGCACCAATTTTGACGATCAGGCCACTAGGGAGGCGCTGGGCACCCTTTCGGAGGTGTATGCGCCGGGGAACGTGAGTAACGGCAAGGAAGCGCAGACTACGACGGCTGCTATATTGGAAGATGGGGATTTAGAACACTTTGAGGATGGCAGACAGGGCGATGGTGTGGTGGTGGTGGAGGTAGAGGAGGAGGTCCCAGGGGAGTTGGCTGCGCGGGCGCGGAAGAGCATGAGGAAGGGTATGGAGAATAAGTTGATGGAGGGGAGTCAGCGTTTCGTCAAGGCTCTCATGGAGGTGGACCAGGTCTGTTTTCTTCCTTTTCGATCCCCTTGTTCAATGAGCTGAGGGTATGCATATGTTACAGAAACTGAGCGATCTGCAGAAACACGTAGCTGCCATGCAGGCTAGCTGTGACGAAGCTGAAAAGCAACTCAGTCTAAGTAACGAAGCTAGCCAGATGCTCCTGGAGCGTGCTGGTAGTTTACGAGACGAACGGTGAGCCCTTCTTACCATCTATCTGACTATCGAGTTTTTGACGGAGCGATATAGGCGTGAAGTGGAGGATAAAAAGTCCATCATCACGCTCTTCCTCGCCCGATTCACGCTCAGCGAGGGCGAAGTGGAAGCTATCACGTCTAGAGACGTGCCAGTTAGCGAACGGTTCTTCGACGCTATGGGAAAGACCGAGCGGATTAGGGAAGATTGTAGGGTGTTGATGGCAGGCGAGGATGGGCCTACAAAAGCTGGGTACGATCGTCTTTCCGTCGTCCCCTGCTATTGGGCCGTACTGACATAGACACATGCAGCCTAGACATAATGGCTTCAACCTCCACCTACCTCGAACAAGGCTTCGAAAAGATTCTCCGGTGGACATCGAACGAGTTCCGACAAATGGGACGAGAAGTCCACCTCGAAGTAAGCCCAACCATGCGCGAAGCCATCTCCCGCCTCCGAAAACGACCTGAACTTCTAACGTTCGTCCTACCCCCCTCCTCCTCCCTCTTCATGATCACTCGCTCCTGCTAACCCTAATCCTACAGCGAAACACTAAGATACCTCTCCGAAACCCGACAAACCACCCTCCTCTCCTCATTCATCACAGCCCTCACGCGAGGCGGCCCTTCTGGCCTACCCCGCCCCATCGAGCTGCACGCACACGATCCGATGCGGTACGTAGGTGACATGCTCGCGTGGGTACATCAAGCTATCGCTGCTGAGCGGGAGTTCCTGGAGAGTCTTTTTGGGATAACGAGTGATGGAAGGATGGTTGGGAGTGTTAGGGTGTTTGAAGGGCAGAGCGAGGAAGAGGATTGGGTGCAGGAGTTGATGGATTTGGCGGTTGGGAAGCTTTGTGTGCCGTTGAAGGTGGGTTTTACTCTAACCTGGGTTGGGTGTGTGGTGCGGCTGTTGACATTTTTTTTTTGATTTTGAAGGTTAGAGTGCAGCAGACGGTACGGTCGCAGGAGAGCAGTATCGTTTCCTACAAGATTGCGAACCTCCTCCAGTTTTACTTGGTCACCATGCGGAGGACCGTTGGGCCACAGGCTATTCTCACTGTGACCTTGGAAGAGTAAGCCCCTGCTTCTTAACCCATCGACCAGACTGACCACTGTTTTTTAGAACTACAGCCGTCGCTTACAAAGTATTCTACGATTCCATCGAAGCACAAAGCCGTGCTCTTCTCCGAGTCTCCCTCGTACGTCCTTACTTGCCTCTCTTCCTCAAAACTAACCACGGCCCATTAGGACCTCGACGACCCCTCACTAACGCCCTCCCTCGCCATCCTCGACCAAGCCCAGATCCTCAAAGAAGTCATGTCAGTCTACCAATCGTCATTACTAGGCGACGAAGACGAACAGGAGCGCACAGCGGGTTTCCAGAAAGTCCTAGACGTGATCGTGGACCCGCTCGTTGAGTCGTGTATTGCCAAGGCGGAGGAGAAGAAGCGGGCGAGGGCAAAGTGGGATCGGGCGGTTTATGTGTTGAATTGTTTGTGTTTTGTCCAGGTGAGTTTTGTCCTTTCGACAGGGGTGGGGTATGCTGATCATTGAGGGGCTTTAGAATGTGTTGGAGTCATTCTCGTTCACCGCCGTGAAGCTTGCGATGGTCCAGGGGGTCATTGACGAAAGGGTCAAAGAGCTCACCGATGAACATGTACGTTTGTTTTTCGCCAGCGTTATACGTTCGGTCCTAATGAATTTGAATTATTACTACAGTATCTAAACATCATGAACGACGCCGGCCTTCTCCAAATATCAGAAACAATCAAAACCCATCCTAAAGACGTACGTCTCCCCTTTTTCCTTTCCCACCTCCCCTCCTCACTTACTAACAAAACCACAGGACCCCCTCTCCCACAACCCAACAACCCAACCCCAATCCCTCCATCAATCCCTCAAGAACTTCTCCCTCTGGCTCTCAGGCCTCGAAGTCCTCCACTCTCCGCGCCTCGCCCAACTAAACACACCAAAACTCCAAACGCAGATCCACCACGCGGCGTTGGTCCGCGTTGTGCGTGCGTACGAGGGGATATGTGAGGCTGTGAAAAGGCCGGAGAATCGGTATGAGGCTGCGGCGACGTTGTTGGGGAGTGAGAGGCCTTTTGGGCGGGTTCATTTGTTGTGGCAGATTTTTGGGCTTGAGGAGGAGGAGGGGGAGGGGGAAGGTGAGGAAGAGAAGGAAGAGGGTGATGATGACGAGGAAGAGGGTGACGAGGATGAGGATGATGATGATGAGGAGGGGGAGGAAGAGACAGACGGTGATGATGAGGATGAAGAAGGGGATGAAGACAGTGAGGATGAGGAAGACGGGGATGAGGAAGAGGAAGAAGAGAGAATGCTTGTCGAGAGAAGGTCTTGAGTCTTAAAGCTTGAGTGCCCCTCGTCACAAGGGCCCTGCTTGGTCCTCTATCGGTTTATGATTCAGACAAGTACTTGTGGGCGCCCAGAGGCGATCTTTTTTAAATTGTTGGCTTATTTTTTTGTTACTCCTCTATCCTCTACCAAACCGATCGAAAGCACAATGGGCACACTTGGAAATTCATCATCCCACTCCTGACCCTCGTACACGTACTCCTCTTCTCGTCCCCAATCAAAAATCGATCGATCGACCATCATGATCTCTCCTCTTGAATCAAAACTTGTCTTGCGTTCCCTGCCCCCCGCCTCCGCCACCGCCTTCTCCAACATCTCTCTCCCACTCTCATCCTCAGCAAGCTTCGCCATCGCCGGACCCATGACCTGCAAGGCAAGAATAGCCACACGTTCATCCGCTGGGAACATCCTTTTCGACGTACCGTGGTCCTCCTCGGTCTCATGCCCTCGAACATGATCAGCATAATCATCCCCGTCCTCCTCTTCCAGTTGCAAGGTCTCATAGGCGCTTTCGGTCGAATTAACACCTTTCTTGCGCTTCCTGCCCTCCCCCTTGGCCTTCACCACCTTCTTCGGCTTGCCTGCGCCACTCTCACCCTCAGCAAGCTTCACGCTCTCCCGAATCATAGCCTCCAAAGCATGCCTAGACGCATCCTCGTCCACTGCTGATCCACCTTCCTCCAGTTTCTTCGATGGACCCTGGCCTTCCTCTAGATTTCCCGACGAGCCAGAAAGCTTCATGAGTACCTCGATCTCCTTGCCCCACACCTCCGCTGGCTTCTCGAAGCTGGGTGTTTCGAGGATCAAGGGGATGTTTTGGACGCGTGGGTCGTTGAGGATGTGTTGGAATGCTGGAATGCCTAGATGTCCGCTTGGTGGTAGAATAAGTACTTTTGTTATGGGAGTAGGTGTAGAAGTAAGAAGAGAGGTTTGGATCGGGAGTCGGCTGAGTTGAATTTCGTTCCACCGGTCAAAAGAGGAAGTTGGAGAATGGGCAGGAACTTCAAACAAAGAAAAGAAAGAAGTCGTTACTCACAGCCCGATATTCTCATGCCTATCACGTTTGGAGTTGAATTCGGTTTTGGAATCGTTGAGGTGCATTCCGCGTAAGTAGGACAGGCCGACTTGGCTATCGAACTTGGTTACTGTTTAGTTTGAAGCCTTGTCAGTCATTTGTACGGGGCGAGCAGAAGACCTACATGTTGACCTTAAAAAAAAAGACGGGTCAATCGGGTGCGAAGTCGGAGGTGTGTAACGGGTCCTTACTCCCAGCCTTCTTTCGTTCGGATGTCGTATCCCTGTACGAACCACGTCAGAGTGTCGGAGATGTTAATGAAGAACAAGGAACACGCACTGCAGCGAATGAATGACCTGTTGAGAGAAGGATCTGAGAATTATCATGAAATCGGACGGTCTGAATGGGAACGTACAGGTGTCAAGACATACTCCGACCCTAGTTTTATCTTCTACCCGTTCAATGATGCCAGCGAGATGAGCAAAGTCGCCTCCGATGATGTTCCCAGCACCTGCCTGTATTACGGTCTAGCATCAATGTCGAAAAGAAAGGAAATACTCAATGTCTACCATGTTCTCCAGAACAGTGGTTACAAAGGCGGTTTCTTTGTGGGCTTGGTTGATGCATTCCGCAATAAGTGAGAGGGATTCGTCGGTGGAGCAATCACCGACAGTGGACCCAGGGCTGAGGAACAGAAAATCGCGTCATTGGGGGAGTACTGTGCGGCGTTGATGGGAGGGTCATACTGGAAATTGTACAGCGTCAATCCAAGCTGTTCACACCGCTTCAAATCATCAAGAAAGCAATCATACGACTTCTTCCTCTTGTCACTGTAGAGCACACCTCGAATCAGCTAGCACTCGAAGGGGGTGACAACGCAAAACAGAACTTACGCGTCTGGGTTCCCCAGATTTATTAGGTAGCTGCCATGTGGCAACACGACGTTGGGACTATACCCATATTCCTTCATACGTTTCTTGAATGAAGCTATAGATTCCTCTGACAAGGGTGGTGATGTCCACTTTCGCTGCGATTTGATGAACAGCGCAAAAGCGTTGGCGCTGGCAAGTTGAAGGTCAGTCCTAGGCAGATGAAGGACACACGACCACGTACCCAATAGCACGGGCGTTCACAATTGCATTCTCAACCCCACCGACAGCAGACACATGGGCCCCGACTTTCCAGGGACTCTCGACGCGGGTGAGAAACGTATCAGGATCAGGTAGTTTCGTCTTGGTCTTGCGTTTCGCCTTGACTTTGGGCTCTTCTGAGACGTCTTCTGATGTGTAAAATGAGTGCTAAAATCGTTTGAAGAGGGTCCTGACATACCTGGGACTGCCTTTGATTTGTTCTTGCCGAGTCTGACCTTCTTCAATGGTGGTTCGGATATTTTGTCATCGGCGGCCTTAGCGCTGGGTCTTCGCGTTGAAACCATGATAGGTTGCGTCCGGCTGAAGATATTGATGATATTGATACTTCCAATGCGAGGCCGGAACCGCAGCATGGAGGCAGTCACCAAGGTAGCTGTTTGGTTTTATTATGTCGCATCTTTCTCATCTTTCTCTCAAGTCTTGCCCAAAACTCAAGGCTTTGCTCACCGGGAGTACATACTCTGTCATTTTATGTTGATTTTATGCTGCTAATTTTTTTCTGGAAATGAAGAAAGAGGTAGGCACAGGCCTGCCCATTCCGTTCAGGAGATGAAGTTGGACGTGCACATGTGCTTATCTGGTTTGATGCCGACGAGGGCTGTGATCATTTACATGTAGATGGATGATAAACGGGCAGACGAGGTAGTCAATCCGGCAATGAGACCGGGTCAACACGGACTCCGGAGAAAACCTGCAAACGACCAATTGGAGATTATCGCAAGAAAGGTACAAGTATAAAACAGTCCATGTCCGAGTCTCTGGGCATTGTCATGTACTCTGTCGCCCCGCCCCAGTTCAAGACTCCTGACCTCGATATGCAGGGGGTGGTTCCAGCACGGGAATCGGAGGAAGGGGCATCGCCGTTGTATCCACTGGCGCATGTCCATGGACAACGGAATCGCCTTGTGAGCTTGGGTGTGTCGTGTTTGAGGGATCCGTGCTCATATGTGGGGACGTGGATGAAGAATGCGTCTGCGGGGAGGTAGGGGATATACCGGCTGATTTTGAGTCGAGAATGGGACTGGTAAAACCAGTGTGTCGAGCGAGAGAAGACTGCGATGCCGCTGCGTTAACGATCGGTCCCGCTCCATTAATTTGTGTCGTTTGATCATTTAAATTGAAAGGAGTGATTGATTGTCCAAGACGTGCCCATGCTAAATTGAGGGTTAGTTGACGAATTAAAAATGACGGATTAAATCTCACAAGTTGGAGTGGCGGTGGTTTCCGAGTCTGTGGTAGGGGCATTGGGCTTTCGACGCCGACAGTTGAAGTAAATCAACAAAGCTATGAGAACCACCAGCAAACCAGCTGCTATCGACCCGACGATGGTTCCTACGGGGGCGCTCTTCGCAGAGCTCGCCGCGGGCGAGGTTGCCGCGGCTGAGTGGGACACAGAAGATGTAGTACTGACTGTTTTCGATATTGAACTCCCACTTGAACCCGATACCGTGACGGGGACATTGACGGATGCATTGTAATCAATGCGATCGAGCTGATACTCAACGCTTGTTCCTTCATTCGTAATCACGAGCGTATGCAGCCCATCCGTCAGCAGTGGAGAGAGGAAGAAAAGATCGGCGTAGACCGCGTCTGTCTGTGACGCGATGGAGACGTTGACTGGGACCCCCGAATCGATGGCGTATTGCGATTGTGTGGCTGCCGTGGAGGGACCCGCTGGAAGTGTTCCATAAACCGCAACACCGGTTCCTAGAAATACGTAAAGCGTGAACCTCGCGCTTCAAGAGAGATTGGCGTACCACGAAAACTAAATGTCGCCGTAGCACCGACAGTCGACGTAGAATGAACCGTCCCATTCCATTGTCTGGTAGAACCCTGGAGAAGAGCCCATCCGGAAGAGTAGCCAATCGAACTGTCCGTGTCGTCGATGGTGGTCGCCATATATAAAGGAGTGAGATTGCCCGAGGTTTGCGGGAGTGGTGGTGTAGAGAGAGAAGGATCACCGCCGTTCGACAGTGGGAAGGCAACGTCCCAAAGGAATTATTTAGCCCTATTTTTACGATGAGCCTTCATGGCAGTGGGAAAGCATGCGCTCACAGTCTATCACCATGCAGACCGGATCTTTCGGTGATCTGATGGCGACAAAGTGAATCAATCCTGCATGCGATGAGTATCAAGAGCAAATCAAAAGCCTTGTGGTAGTTTGTAGTGTCAAAGCAGGATCGGTTTCGCAGTAATGCCAGCACTTTTCATGAATTAGTCCTCTGTGTCTGGGCTCGGGCAGACTTGTAGGCAATAATGCTGACTTGCCTGTCAGATATTTGAATTTCGTCAGCTAAATGGACCCAAGAGGGATGGGGAACTTCGGCGTACAGAGTTTGTGCCTGACCGGGCCAACGACGTTCGGCTTCTGAAGCTTCTGGCCAATTGCAACTTATGGTCCTCGTGATTCACAGCAGAGGATTGCAGAGAGGTGAACGACTATGAGAGGTACCATCGCCACCATTCAGCAAAAACTTGAATTACGGGTTTTGAGGGTGGATTATTCAACGTTCAACCAGGTTCAACCATGACGTTCATATGTGGTGGCGCAAAGCCAAGATGTTTGTTGTGCTTGTGTTGTGCGAAATCTTGGCGAAAACATCGCAAAATTCAAGTATTTGGTAAGTATTTTGAACCTGGAAATTTGAAAAGTCTGTTAGATAAGTTTCGCTCCTAGACCGCCCTATGTTGTTATTTTTTCCTCTTGTTGTCCCGCCTGTATGATTTTGTCTACTCTCAGACATATTTTTTCCGATACGTTTTCTTGACAGACTCGAGTTTTCGTTCATAGCCTGAATTAGGTGATCTCCTTCTCTAACCAATCTCCTACCAAAAAGTACATCAAGTGATACATTAATTGAGCCAACTACAAACGAAAAAAGGTCTAGGAAAAGGTACAAGAAAGTACGTTAAACATGAGGAAAGAACAGTACCCACTGAACCGTCTCTAGCGCACTTGGCGGAAGGTTTCGAAGACTGATACACGCCTCTACAAGTAAATATATCCGAGCAGGAATATAAAGAAGAATACCAATTGGCGCAATTAATCGGAAAACATGCAGAATCACATTCCACACCTTATTCGCAAAGCCAACTCTAAAAAAAACATGCCCATGGAACAAGATACCCAAAAATGGGGGAAAGACCGCAATGAAGGTGGACGTGGCCCTCCAGAGGAGTTTCTCTGAAACGGTAGGGAATTGGAAAAACCATCCTATACAGTGCATGGCACCAAAGATGGTTCCAGTGAGGGCCGTGATCAGGTGGGAGTGATCAACTTCCTCGTACGCCATGGGGAGAGCGTAGAAGGTGGGCGCGCGCGTTTTGCCACGTGCCACGTCGTCTATGTGTCTAGCCAGACTGACGCTGTCAATGAGTACATGGATCCCGTCGTGTAGAGATTGAGGTCCGCCAAGCAATATTTTCATCAGTATCTTCTTCATTTCAAGACCTGTTCCCGGGGTATCACGAGGGGTGTCGCGAGTGGATGAGGATCGTCGAACACCGGGTTCAGTTGTAGAATTTGGTGTAGGGGGAAGCTGCAGCACGGGTGGGTACTTAATGGGTTGCGTGGAAGGGGCGGTGATTTCTGTTGGACCCCCCTTGGTCTGGGTAATGCTCCTCCTTTTCTCGACGATGGGCGGATTATCAGGCTCCGACGAAACTGCAGAGGAAGGTTCGTCTGCATTCTCTTGAGGATGAACCTGCACAGTGGTCGCCTTGATATAGACGGGAACAGGACACCGTACGTCCAACGGTTTGTTCCACCAAAAGAAATACATCAGGCCATTGAGTGTGGCGAACGCCAGAGTAACGAGCTCCATCTCTGTGACCACCAGCTGCTGTGAGGCGCGCGCAATGCATTGGGCTATGAACCAGGAGGTCTGAAGCACGACAAGGCCCTTGCCGAGAGGGTCCCCCTTGCTTCGGTCGTCGATCTCCGCCTCCGTGATTTTCGGAAAATCAATCTGATCCCCCGCATACAATTCCTCGAGCCATTCCAGGGATAAAATGCCTTTTGGTTCTCCCCCATCGAACAGCACGAATCCTCCCATCTGGATGAAGAACCCATGGGTTTTAGTCCAGCCAAACTCTAGCCACGCGCGTCATGTCAGCAGAGAGACGAGATGAGGTAGAAAACAATACTCACCTCGGTACTTCTTCTCCACCTTCCGCGCTCCAACCCACTGCCTCATCGCCCATAGCATCACTATCTCTGGCGCTATCAGGGACCAGAACATTACCCTCAACCTCCTACGCGCAGTCCTCACCCATGACTCTCCTGGACCAGTCATGTTGGGATGGACGGAAATCCAAGTGCATGCGAATATCGTGGTTAGGCAGCTCCAAACTATGTCGGGTATCGTCCGCTCGTTTCCGTTCGTTGGCACCTGGTCCCTGCGGCCGTTCGATGCATGGATGGGAAGAGCGTTGCTAAGGTTCCGAAGGAGATAGGTTGCAGCCCAAAGCAACAACATCATTCGAGAAGTGTCCGGAACCAGGTCCTTTGTGCGAGGTTAGCTCCACAGCTTACAGCAAATTGCCAATACCTACTCAGCCGGAGTCACCTTGAATGCGTTGGACGTGAACGATGAACGTTGAACGTTGGGCGCTTACATATGCGGGGATTGACAAAGCTTGTCGCCGTTCATCACGATCTACCCAAGCCACGAGGCAGTAAGTAAGTAATCTCGTCCACGTCAGATTCCTGCGTCGCCGCCGATAGAATTTCTAAGTAGAATGCCTTTGCTGAATTCAGTGAAATGCGGTTAGTGCTGGAAGCAAACTGGAGGAAATTCGAAATTTTGGCAAGGTCCTGACTGCTGGGAAATGCAGTGTCGCATGCCTCAGAGTGGTATATAGATGACTTTGTCGTTATGCTAAAAATAAGAGAAACAAGGCGCATAAGTAAGCTCAAGTTGAAGTGTGAATGCCCCAAGCTGGTTGCTTTCAAAAAAAAAAAAAAATTCAACAGACGTGGGATCGCTGGAAGCAGGATTTGAACCTACGCGGTGAAACACCAAGTGATATTGAGTAATTCAAATCACTCGCCTTAACGACTCGGCCATTCCAGCTTGTTATGAAAGTGCTCCAGGTAACAGCCACAAACCTCTTTACCATGCCCAAGAGCGAGTTGACTTTTCACGCCGACGTTTTGAATTGAACGTTCAACCACTGCCATTATCAACAAACAACAAAAACTACATTAACAACCCCAACCTAACTCTACGCAATCTTGACAGTCTGCAAAGCAATCAATATCAGAACCCCCATCCACACACAAGATAGATCAGAGCCACCCCACCTTTGCATAAAGCGACTGCACGACCTTTGTCACCTGCTCAATCGTATCTATCGCCGCTCCGTACGTGTTCTACATCACGTCGGTCAGCAAGTTTAAGGACGGGGAGGATGAGACTCACATCCGCCTCGGGCTGATCAAACACCAAAAGGCACCCTCGTCCCTGGTCCAGAACTCCATGAAAGACTTTGTCTAGTATCATCTGCGAAAGCCTATCACGGTCGTCAGCAAAAGTTCGAAAGCAAGCAAGTAAAAGAGGAAGAGGAAGCGACGACCACAACCTCCAACCCCAAAAAAGAGCCCAAACACCCACTTAACCTCAACACCCCTCCTCTCCTGCCCTACACACTCAGCAACGTAATCCAACTCGATAATCGAGTAAGGCTCCACGATGCGCAGGAGGTTCTGTTCGAGGAGGGTGTCGTAGAGTGCTGCGAGGTGCGAGCGGATAGTTGGGTCTGATGAGAGTTCTGTAGGGAAAGCAAAAGCAAGGGGGTGAGCGAGTGTTCCGTGGAGGGTAGAGGAGGGAGAGAGGAGGGAGAGAGGAAGAGGAAGAGGAAAGGGAGGAGAGGAGGAGGCAAGAAAGGCGCTTGAAGGAAAGTGCGAAGCAGGATGGTGGTTTATGGGACGGGAAAAAGCAAGGGGCTGCATGGTATGAGAGCAAGAGAAAGAAGGGAGGGTTGGGGGCAAGAAAGTAAAGGACGCGAAAGAAGTATTAGGTTGATGGAAATCGAAAGGTGGAGGGAGGGACGCGGAGGGAAGGGTGGAGGTAAGGTAGGAAAGCTGGGAGAAAGGCGGGGCTGCGGGAAGAGCAAGGGAAGACGCGAGGAAAAGAAGGGAGAAGGGGGGCATACAAGCAGGGAGAGAAGGGCGGACAAAAGAGAGGGAAAAAAAGGGGGGGTGGGGGCAGAATGAGAACGAAGTGAAGCGGGCAAAGGGTAGCGGAAGAAGTGGCAGCTAGGGAGGGAGGACGGCAGGGAGGGGGAGTAAGAAAACGAGAGAAGCGAAGGGGTCTATGAGGTCAAAGGGGAGTGAAACAAGAGAGGTGGAAAAAGGACGGAAAGGGAAAGGGTAAGAGGAAGACAGGCAAAACGAACTCACCATCCTTATAATCCCTCAAAGCCTTCTCAAAAGCGCCCAAATTCCTCTCCTGATGCGCCCGCGCAATAGCACGCATACTCTCGACATCTCTCAGCTGCGCATATTTCGCAGCCAACTTTATGCTCAGCAGCGAGTTCACGTCTTCCGGCTATCCAAGCGTCAGCGTCTTTCCCAAACACAAACAAGGAAGAAGACAGACCAGGTTCAACATAACCTTACACAACAACATATACTTCAACGCGCCCAACGCTCGTTCCTCTCCTTGGGCACTCAAATTCTCAAAAGACTCGAAGAAATACGAGTAGGCTGTTGTGTAATCTTTGTCTTCGGCGTGTAGGACGCCTGATTGGAGGTCGAGGGATGCTTGGAGGGTGGGTGGGCAGTAGATTGATGCTGCGGCTGTTCGGGCGGATGTTAGTGCTGCCTACAAAGGGGGGGGGGCGTTAGCGTGTTTTTTTTTTTTTTTTTTTTGGGAGGAGGGATATATGGGGGAAGTGGAAGGGGAGGGAGAAGAAAGATACCTTGGATTTGGCCATGTTGCCTATACCGCGGTAAACACGACTTTCGAGGAGGTGGACTTCTGTGAGGATCATTTTGTCGTCTAGGCGTTTTAGTTCGGTTAGGAGGGTGTCGATTAGGAGTAGGGCGGGTTGGTATTGTTTTGATTCGAGTTGGCTGGTGGGCGTTAGTTAGTTTTGGGACGGATGGCGTATACCCAAGAACGACGTACAGCCCCGCCAACCTAGTCTCCAAACTATGTTTCAGAAAGATCCTTTTCTCAGCTTTAGCCCATGCGATATTATCCGTCAACGTGCGCATTTGGATGGGACGGCTGTTGGGGATTGAGGAGAAGAAGTCTAGTAAGGTACGGACTTCCCAAATGTGCATCAGCAACGTAGGATTGAAGTGGAAAGACACGAGCGTACTGAGTTTCGCAGTCTTGGCTTTGGCAGTACTTGACATGAATGCTCTGGATTGAGTGATCACGTCCGCTAGGCCTTGTGCGTTTCTTTGCGCATCTCATTAGCCTCATCAAGACAAGACAAGAAAGAGTGCGTACTTTTGGTCTCGGTACAGTTCTCCGAGCTTGACTAGGGCCGTCTCCTGTTCTCGTAAATGACGAGATTGGTCTTCGGGGTCATCATTTGGGATCGCTATTCGTTCGTGTTAGTCTGTGTCATGGATAGAAGGTGGGGACGAACAGGTATTCGATAAGATCTGCTTATACAGACTCTCCGCCTCTTGCGGGTTCATCTTCTCAGCTTGTAACAGTAATTCTGAAGTCGGCGTCGTCATGTTGAGAATGAAAGGAAAGCTGACGCGTCGTCATCGTGGGAAAAACGAATTTGATCAAGATGTGACGCGTCTCCCCATCTCTCACCACTCTAAATTCAACAACGACGATGGCAGATGAAATAGTACTCCCAATCCCAAACCTCAACCTCCCCCAATGCCTCTTCCTCCTCTCATCGCCAACACAAACACACCATCACGAAAAAGCGCGTAAAGAGTTGTTGGACGGTATCAAAGCTGACCGTGAGCTCTTTCATTCCTTCCTTCTCTTCAACCCAATCCCAACCCAAAAAAATAGAAATGGCGCCGTACCTCAAACAAATCACCTCCCTCCCCTCATCTCCACTCCACCAACTCGACCCATCCATCCTCTCATCCTTGGAAAAAGCAAACGAGGAAGAATTAGCAAAGTTAGATGCAAGACTCGCAGAAGCTGAGAAGACGGAGGGGGAGAGCGAGATTAGCGATGCTCTCAAGGCCAGGGCGAATTATTTGACTAGGATTGGGGATAAAGTTCGTCCGTTTCTTCCTTCTTCCTTTTCCCTTGGGCCTTTGCGTGACATGGCGTTAACTAACAACCTCAACAGGACGCATCAACAAAAGCGCAACTCCTAGCCCTCGAAAAAACACCAGGCCTAGGCTCACGCATCGACATCGTCCTCACCATCGTCAGGATCGGCTTCTTCTTTGGCGATCATGCACTTATCACGCAGCATTTACAAAAGGCTGAGGGGTGCGTTGTCCTCTTCTTCCCTTCCTTCTTCCCCTTCCATCCTCTCCCTTTTTTTTTTCTTTCCTCGTCCCTCTTGTTCCTTCTTTTCCTCGTCCCACCTCGTTGCTCGCTTACCCCTCCCACAGCCTAATAGACCAAGGAGGCGACTGGGACAGACGCAACCGCCTAAAAGTCTACCAAGCCCTCCACCTCTTATCCATCCGCTCCTTCAAACGCGCAGCCTCACTCTTCCTAGACGCACTCTCAACATTCACAGCTACCGAATTATTGAGCTATAATGATTTCGTGGGGTATACGGTTATTGCGGGGGGGTTGACGCTGGGACGGGTTGAGTTGAAGAAAAAGGTGGGGGGTTTCTTTCGCTCCGAGATACGCTCTGGGCTGACACCCGACAGTTGATAACGGCATCAGAAGTCACTCAAGTCCTTCCGGACCTCCCCATCCTAGGCGACCTCATCAACAGTCTATACGACTGTCACTATGACAAGTTCTTCATCGCTCTTGGTTCGTCTGCCCTTCTTCCCTTCTTCCCTCTTACTCACCACGCCCACCCAACAGCAACACTCGAACAAACACACCTCCTCCCCTCACGCATCCTCTCCCCACACGCACGGTACTACGTCCGCGAAATGCGGATCCTAGCATACGCTCAACTGTTGGAAAGTTATCGGTCGCTGACGCTTGAGAGTTTGGCGCTGGCTTTTGGTGTTGGGGTTGAGTTTGTTGATAGGTACGCGCTTCTCTCTGCTTTTCCTACGTTTTTCTCCCTTCTTTCTTCTTCCTCCCTACGTTTCTTCTCCTCCCTACAATCCCTCCCTTCTCTCCCTCCCCTCTTCCTCCCTCTATTTTCTCGCTAAAAACTAACGAGAAAAACCAAATAGCGAACTATCCCGCTTCATAGCCCTCTCCAGACTACACGCATCCATCGACAAAGTCCACGGAATCGTAGAAACTACACGGCCCTCTCTAAAGAATGCGCAGTATGAGAAAGTGGTGAAGATGGGTGATGTGCTGTTGAATGATGTGCAGCGGTTGAGTAAGGTTTTGTATTAGCTTCTTACTACGAGTCTTTTTTGAGGGGGGGAATGAATTAGTTTGTGCGTGAAGATCTGGCTAGAGAGTGAGATGTGAAAGACCTAGGAAAGTCGGGTATAGTGTACGGTGCTACTAGTATGTCTGCTTCTAGCTAACTTGCAAGTGTAGCTCGGATGGATTCATGGGTTCGACTCCCCATTGCCCGTTTCTGATTGTAGTTCATGAATTTTTTTAAAATTATCAGTGGTGAGCGGAGGATAGATATGAATTTTAAATTGCGGGTGGTACCGGTTTTCTAGCTATCTATAAGGAATCAGGTAACACTTGAAATTCCTTGGGGACTTCCAAATCTAAAGATTCGACACTGTGCTTCCCCGGGCCTTCAAGCCATAGGGACCCACTCCGTAAGCTGAAAAAAGAGCGGGTAGTCTAGCTACTAAGTACATGATGGTCAACACATCCCGCCGGATAGTATAGTATCCAAGAAGTGTTTGGGTTCGATTCCCAGTGCCCGTTTCAACACATTGTGCAACACAATTCATATGATTTTTTTTTTTGCTATGCCCAATATCGAGGATTGATCCTTCGACCGCATTGCATACTGCAAGTTGTATACATTCATAAATTCAGGTATGGTGTGAGGGTCAACACGTCCTGATTAGCACCAGAGTGAAAGGGTTCGATTCCCAATGCCTGTCTACTGACTGTTCAAATGTGATTCTAAAGTTTTTACTGTGGTGGACAAGCAGTGGAAATTGTTTTGCACAAATACTCAATAGATACCTGATTTACTTTACTTACTCAAAGTGTCCTGAGAAATATATAAGGTACAACACTACAGTGCTAATGGTGCGAATTGATCTATATCCAGAAATTCAGGTATGGTGTGAGGGACAACACATCCTGGCCCCAAGATTGTACTGGAGTGGAAGGGTTCAATTCCCAATGCCTGTCTACTTGGAGACGTCTACATGAAATTTTTTACTGCAGTGGACATTAGTTTTGACCCTTCCCAAGACTCATTAATCAATAGTGACCTGCATTTACTGTACAAATACGACCAACTCTTCATCGATTTGGGATTTTTTTCTCGCCGAGGTGGCCGAAAAATTTTCTTTTGATTTAAGGCGAATAAAAAAAAATACTTTTTTCCCCGATGTGACGTGTGATGTGAAGACTTGGTCGTATTTGTACAGTACTTACTACAAGTGTCAAGAAATGTATATCAGATACAGTGGTGCTAAATTCTAATGATACAAGGTGGACTGGCACTGACTGCTATGTATGGTCAATTGTGAAGGAAGGATCTGTTTTTATGTTGCATACCTAACCTGAGAAAGGAAAGTCAGGTATAGTGAAGGGTGTACACTAACTCACAATAAAGAATGTCACATGGCATTTTTTTGAAAATATGTCCCCTGCTTGACCAATTCTCCATAATTTTGTTTACCTACAGTATATACAAAACACCCATCATGTGTCTTCTGTCTACTAAAAAAATGAGGGAAGGATCTGAAGTTTTCGAGGTGGAATTGCGGCCTGAGCAGAGATTGAACATTTTACCATGTGCATCAAAGTTGGACACATCATCTAAAGTTGGCACGCATCGAGCGACATCACACATCCACATCATTTAAACTATATTTCCTAAACACTGTCCTTACTATGTCCCCACAAATGACAGCTGCAGAGAAAGCAATCATTTGCACCCTGAAAAAACAAGGCATTTCCCACAATGACATCCGTGCCGCTCTCACAAACCACCACGACATCATGGATCAATGAATCATATGGATTTTTCAACGATACAGTGACAAGGAGAACTATGATGAAGTAGGCCACTCCACTGGGCACCCCCATAAGCTCACACCCTGTGATGCATGTGTTGCTCTTTGACATCTCACAAATTGTGATGCTGCCAATGCTACTGAGCTCTGAAACACCTACTTCCCAGAGGTTTCACTTGAAACTGTCAAAGGAGCTCTTAGAGGGGAAGGCAGGCATGCTTGCATTCGAGCCACAGTCCCATTCGTCACGAAGAAAAACCTAGGTGTGCGAAAGAAGTGGGCAGCAGCCCACCTTCATTGGACAGTCGCCAATTGGAGGGCTGTAAACTTCTCCAATGAGTCCATCTTCCACATTTTTGGATCAGATGGGATACAGTGGTGTTGGAGGAAAGCAGGGGAGAGACTTGATCCCTGATATACAATGAAGGTATTGAAGCATGGGGGTGGAAAGGTGACAATATGGGGGATGATCATGTCTCATGGGGTTGGGAGGATTGTGCGCATTGAAGGGAACCTCAACAAGGAGCTATATTGTGATATATTGCAGGATGATGTCCTGGGAACATACCGTGAACACTGCATGAACCCAGGCTCATTCTACTTTCAGCAGGACAATGATCCAAAGCACACATCCAAGATTGTAAAGGCCTGGTTTCTGGAAAACAATGTAGATCTCCTTGATTGGCCACCCAATAGCCCAGACATCAACATTATTGAAAACCTTTGGGACCACCTGGACCATCAAGTACAAGCATGAAAGCCACTGCCTCGTTCTGCAGAGGAACTGTGGATTGCAATTCAGGAGGAATGGTTTGCAATTGATAAGGCTTTCATAGATAAATTATATGAATCACTCCCAGATCGAGTACATGCTGTGTACAAGGCACATGGTGGTAATACAGAATACTAGTTACCTTGGTTTGTAAACTTGTTATGCTCTGGCAACCTGAGGTTTTTTGTCGTTGGTCCGATTTTGGGATTACCAAATTTGGTGACTGTCACAAATAATCATGGCTTTACCTTCAACCTTGAGCACAACCAACCTCTTTACATTATCAGGTATATACATGGGGTCCTGTAGATAATGTATAGACTATAATGAATGTTAATTCATAAGAATCAAGCACAAAATTTAAGGTTTTAGCTGTGACATGGGGATGTGACATTCTTTATTGTGAGTTAGTGTATGTCTCTGCTTCTAAATTGCAAGCATGCTCAGATTGTGGGTTCAACTCCCATTGCCTGTGTTACAATTGAAAACAATTTTTTTAATATGAATGGTGAGGCACCGGTGAGCATAGATATGGATTTGTCAGGATGTGCAGCATCCCAACAAATGCAAACTTATCTATGGGTTGGACAAATGCAAGCTTCCAACAAGTGTTTGGGTTCGATTGCCAGTGCCCATTTAGTCAGTCCAATAACACTTAAGCTTGGTGGCATTACAGAGGCGGAATGGGACATTAAGTAGCCAAAAATCAGAAGTCGGGTGCCTTTTGCGCCTGACTCCGACATATTTCCACTTGAGGTATGGCTATTAGTCCTATTAAGAAGAAAAAGAAAAATTGATGAGTTTGTGTAGTGAAGGATGTGAGGAGCAAGGGGGAAAGTGTAGGAACATGCAGGATAAAAATCTTTAAAAATACAACTTGTCCAATAATAAAGTAGTCAATGTCCATATTCAAGATGGCGTAGGGTAGAGGGTGGAGGGGAGTCTGTTGGTAATAGTCTGTTGATAAAGTAGATAAGAAAAGTCTATGAAAAGAAAAATAAAAAGGAATAGTCTGCTCTCCAAAGCGTGGAGAAATGTTGTTTGGAATCACCTGGTCTGTCCGAAAAGGAGTGCTTGAATGAGCACAGGGTTCTTTCAAACATAGATCTTGAAGGCGTCAGAGGCCCATCTTCTGATGGCTTGAATTATTGACTGCGGCACGCCGTTTTCTGCTAGGGATGTGGCTACTCCAGCTTGAAGTGACTGACCAGTGGTGTCGGAGTCAAAGAAACGACGCAAACATCATATGAAGAATGAGCAAGTTGGGACAGTACCCTGGCTAGTGAGCCACAAGGGTGAACTAAATGGGAATTTTGCATTGCAGGCTTGTAGATATGTTAAAAATCTTTTGTGGGGGTCAAACTTGTGCAGGTTTTTGCGTACGATAATGGTGTTCCCTTCATAAAACCTGTTGGCCTTATGTCCAGGCAGGAAGAACTTGTAGGACTTGTCATCGGTGTGTACTGAGCTGCATTTTGTGACTTTTCTAGGGTTGCGGAGTTCTGGATCGTCAGGGTAGGTCATTTCACCTAGTCAAAACAACGCGAAGAATCCAGTTAATAGCTGAGCAAGGAAAAGGATGTCATCGTAGTCTGTGGACGATGAGAGTTTGTCGATGACGGTTCTGAGGTCCTCGATGGTTAAAGCTCGCCTGCGTGAGGTGGGTACAGCTCGCATTCTCTTGCAACCCTGCAATGTATGATGTACCAGAGTGGAGTTGCAAGAGGAGCAGACGTCAGGGAAGTATGGTTCCAATTGATGGCATATTCCTGACAGGTACGTTCCCACTGAATCAGGCTTGATGTGGTGACACATATAAATGGTGAATAGGCTGAGAGTATCAGGAGTTGGGTTGAGGAGGTAGTTGTGCATCTTTATGAAATTTAAGTATGAGTTGAGGGCTGATCCATAGTTTTTCCAGGTGGAATTGTCCACAGCTTGTCTGAGGGCAATGGTGCACTCATGTATGAGCCGCTCCTGTGTCCAAACCTCCCTGATGGGTTGTCTGGACTGGACATTTGATGAAATCATTTTTGGGTGGCCCCCAGCGTCAATCGAGGGGGTATAAAAGGGGTTATAGTGATACCAGGCACATACTGTCATGCGAGAGTAAAGTTGTTCCATGATATTGCATCAGCGACATAGTTAAGTTCACCTGCAATATGGAGTACACGGAGGTGGAGGCTTCCATTAATCAGGGCGTCAGCAGCACTGATTAGAATATTGTTGTAATGAGGAAGGCACCAGAGGGTATTGAAGATCGCAACTGTGTTATCATTATCTGTATAGATTAATATGTGTGACAACGATGGGGGACGTTGCAATTCAATAATGTGGCGGAGTGCGGCCAGTACGCATAGCGCTTCGAAGTAGAAGATTTGCTCTTCATCTAGTCCATCAGGGACAGGAGAGTAGAAACCGATGCACGTGTCAGGCCACCAAAATCCCATGCCTTCTAGACAGGCATCGCAATATATTGTAAAATCGGTGGATGAGGCGTCCCACCAAATTTGCTGGATCAGCCAAATCCCTGAATCCTGTTCAAGGTGGCTGACTGCCCAGGCCAAGTCGGCATGTACAGAGTTGTTAATTCTGACAGACCTGTCTGGGGCATTCTTGCCGCTTATTTTTGCATAGAAATGGTTGAGAGCTGGTCTGAGGAGGGGGAAGATGTTGAAACTCCAGTTCATCCAACCCGCTAGATGCTGCCATTCCCTCAATGAGAAGCGGTGACGGTTGGTTATGAAGTCTGTAATAGCAGTGATTAAATCCTTCAAGCAGTCTGGGGGCATGGACATTGTCAGCACGTTCCCATCGACTTCTATTCCAATGATCGTGAGGACTGATCCGTGGAGTTGTTTCTTTTCCTTGTGGGGTAGGTTGATCTTGTCCCAAAGGCGTAGGATTTTGACTTGGTTTGAGGGCATGAATTTTTGATAGGGTTGATACCAAGTGACATTGGAGGCATGCTCAGGTCCGAAGGAATCATCTGAGTATGTGCCTAGAAGGTCGATGTCGCGTTTTTTCTTTGTGATCCACGATACCAGCGACATGAAGGCAATCCAATTACAGCCGGAGCCGCGGCCACCGAAAGCACAGTTCCTGTCTATGTGTAAGGAACCGTCAATATGATTTGCCTGTTTGATTTGCCAGTAATGGTGAACTGGCAATAGCCTGTAGGCTTCGGCGATGTCTGATTTGAAAAGAACATGGGGTGAGTCAGGATCGCGACGATGCATTGAGAGTAGGAATTCCCCAAGATGGTGCAAGTTGTCCAGAGGGTATCCGACGATGTGGTCTCTAGGGATCATGCTATTCAGTGAGTGTTTCCCGGCACTCTGATGGGTAACCATGCACAAGTCAGTTGAGTGAGGTTTGGGAATGGCGAATATGGGCATGCAGTACATTCCCGGTAAGAGATGTTCACCAAATGATTCCGAGAAACACCCCTTGAATATCTTGTGGTCACGTTGGTTGCGTAGAAACTGAGCTTCTTTTGGGTCATCTGGTGGGGGGTAGGACAGGTCCAATGTGTCTGGATACTCTCTGCTATGGGTATCGGCCCATGGCCAGAAACCCTCACGAAGACCGAGGCACATGGAGGCTACAAATGGCTGGTTCGGGTGTGTTTCAAGGAGTCGTTCAAAGCGGTCAACGTTGATGGGGGTTACTATGTCAAAAAGTCGCGGGTTTTCTGTGATAGTCTTCATCACAATAGGATTCGATAGCTCTGAGTCTGGGATGGGTGGTAAGGGAGTCGCTGTCTCTGACCAGTCAGCTGATGATTTTGAAAAATAATCATCACCCTCCCAAATGTTATGACAGAGATACTTAGGTTGAAGATTTTGAGCTAGATCCTTCTTTAAAATCGCAATTTTCTTTTCTGTGACCAGTACGTTTGCATTTCTTGCAAGCATGTCTGAATTGACAATCTTTGGCTGAGTTTCTGCATCCATTAACAGAATTGAACTGGTGGCATAGCTCAGTTTTGGCAGCTGTCCTGGATGTGAGTCACTTAGACATGAGGTGAGAGTTGTCAGATTCAACCCCATCTGGCATGACAATGGCTGAGAAGAATCTGGAAAAACAGTGAGTGTCGGTGAGGAGAGCATTTTGTCCACCCCCGATTTCGTTTCTGATTGCGATATTGTACAGGATGATTTTCCAATGTGAAGACTGGACTCTGGCTGAGAAATGGCCTTTGATGTATTCACCATATTCCTGGAGTTCTTGCTCTTGATGAGGGAAGGTGAATTTAATCACTTTAATGGTCGCATTCCAGGCGCTGGTCCATTCGCCGCTCGTTTGGACCCTCTTGGAAGGTTCAGATCGACCGAGGGAGATTTCAGTAGATCCCACATGTCCAATGTTCTCTTTAGGAGCGGATATATGGTGCAGCGATGAGAGCACGGCATCAAGGTTGACTGCCTGTCCTTTGACAATGTTGTCCCATTCTGAGGTAGGGAATCCGAGAGGTGCAGTCCTAGAGTTTTGGATCCATTGCTTAATTGCTTTAGGGTCTTGAGCGAATAAGGCAAGGATTCTGTGTGATTCTTCGCATTCCTTGTTCCCGGTTCGTCTCTCTTCTTCTTCTCGAGAGAACCAGGGCATTTGAGATTCAAAAACTCTGTGCTTTCTGTTAGATTGCACTCCTTCAGCATCGGAGTTGTGAGCATCGTCATTGGTGTCAATGAAGTCTCTGGAAAGGGGTCTCTTAGACCTTCTGGATTCACCGCTGATGTGGGATATAAGCTCATCAATTTCTGCATCACGCTGTTGATCCCCAACATGAGTGGCTTGAGTGTCTGGCCTGGCAGAAGGTAGTAATCCTCGTTGGACTTGCTGTCCTCTCCTAATCGCTGAAGCAGCGAGGGCCTCAATTTCATTGAGGGTGCGTGAGTAGGATTCAACTGCTGCATCCTTAGTTTTCTCTGGCCTTGTTGTGTTAGAGTCAAGAATATTGATGATCTTTGATAAGGCTTTGAGTTTTGTGATTTCTTTCCTTCAAAAGTTTTCGATGACATTGTCCATGAGGTTGATGCATTCCTGTTCGAAGGGTGTGTCTTCATCTTGTACATCCCCTGCATTCGAGTCGTTGCGTTCTTGACTTGGTAACCACTGTTCATTCAGGTTTGTTCCCATGATGATACCATCAGGTTGCTTGTCTGGAGTCTCTTGAGTAAGGTCGGGATCCCCTGGTTCAGGTAAGGATTGTTCGCCTCCAGGTTGCCCTCCATTCGATCCAATAGTGACGGAGGATCCGTGTCTTCCTCCATTCGCTCCAGGAGCAATGGAGGGCTCATGTCCAGGTTCTGCAGATGCGAAGTAGATGGCATGATCCTCACTCATAGGAGTTAAATTGAGGTACAATGAATACATAGTATTTTATTGACGAAAATGAGAACAGCTTTAACTAGAAGAGGGAGTGAGCTATTGTAACGAGAGCCTTACAAAGTGAAATGGGAATCACACCTAGCTGAGGGAGTGAGATGTTGAAACGAGAGCCTTATGAAAATGGGGTGTTTCATCTCACTCCTCAACTGGTGGTGCGAGTCTAAATTAAGCTGTGATCCAAGTGTAGATCGCAAAGCGTGAATCCAGGCGTGGATTGTAAATCTGCCAGCAGGCAAGTGAGCAGCAGCTCATAGTCATGTGTTGGCGAACATGACAACAGAGTAGTGCATGTGCAACTCAAGCTTTGGACAGCATCCATTGGACTTGAGTAAACATAGTCTAAACTCGACCAATTCCAATTGCTTGCTATCATCTCAATATCAAAAAATTGGATTTACTTATACACATTGTGTACTATTGATATTCATCAGAAATTCAGGTATAGTGTAAGGGCCAACATGTCCTGGTTTGCACTGGAGTGGAAGGGTTCAATTCCCAGTGCCTGGGTCTGAAAGAGGATCTGATTTTTTTTTCTGTGGTGGAGATTAGCTGTCCCTTCCCAAGACTTGCTAGCTACCTCCATTTACTTACTTGGAGTGTCCAGAGAAATATATAGGGTACCAGATTCAAGTTGACATACTATTGGTATACATCCAGAAATTCAGGTATGGTGTGAGGACCAACACTGTGTTCTGGTCCCAAGAGCTTGCACTGGAGTGGAAGGGTTTAATTTCCAATGCCTGTCTGGGGGGTATAATCCAACTCTCTTTCTACTAGTGTGGTTGAAATTAGGCTTTGCAAATACTCAATAGCTACTTGCATCCACTCATTCATTGAAAGTGACCAGAAAAACTTTTGGCAAACAAGTCATTTTCCAGAGACTCTACAGACATAACTGCTCAGTATTTTCAACTGATTCTTTGATGAGCTTATTTGGGGTAACCAGAGATATCTTTTGGCTCTCTTTCCTGTTGGCACATTTTTTTTTTCAGGTGCTAAAATGGCCTTCACACAGGGGAGAACTGGCTATTTGGCCAATGGCCACATGAGTAAGCAAATATTGATTGGAGGCATTAATGCTCTCCCATATTCTTCCTATATGCCTACCATGCACATTTGAAATTTAATTCAAGTAAGCTCCAAAATGCAAACATCATGGAATTTCTAGCCACAGAAAAAATATGCATATTGAAATAGGCCATCATATGTGACTGATTTGTTTATTTAATATGTGACCACAATGTGCCTAATGAGCACATTATGGTCACGTGCTTGATGTACTACTGTGCTAAAGTAAATATGCACACACAAATGCAATCAGCATGGGACTGCTATATTGACATATCAAATAAAATGCTTCCAATGTAATCAGGGGGAAAATTGAAAAGACACAGAAGAACTGTGGCCATCATGCAGGCAAGGGGTATGTTGTGTTGTCTTCCTTCCCCCTCCTCTTCACTCCTGTGCCTTCCTCCTGTTCCCTCTTCTCTCTGTCCTCTCCCTTTTTTCTCTTCCCTCTATTTAGCCGGCTAATGCCTCCCAATGCCTAATAGACCAAGGAGGCAACTGGGACTGCTGAAACTGCCTAAAAGTCTACCAAGCCCTCCACCTCCTATCCATCCGCTCCTTCAAATGTGCAGCCTCCCTCTTCCTAGACGCCTTATCAACATTCACAGCCACTAAATTACTGAGTTATAATGATTTTGTTGGATATACAGTTATTGCAGGGGTATTGACCCTTGGATAAGTCGAGTTGAAGAAAAAGGTGGGTTTGCTACAACAGCTTTTGGTGGGATGGATGTGCTGAATTGAAGATGCAATAGTTGATAACGGCATCAGAAGTAACTCAAGTCCTTCCAGACCTACCCATCCTAGGTGAACTCATTAACAGTCTATATGATTGTCACTATGATAAAATTTTCATTGCTCTCGGTTCATCTCCCTCCCTTTTTTCCTCCTTACTTACCACACTCATGCAGCAACACTTGAACAAACCCATCTCCTCCCCTCATGCATCCTCTCCCTGCACACAAAGTACTATGTCCATGAAATGCAGATCTTAGCATATGCTTAACTATTGGAAAGTTATTGGTCATTGATGCTTGAGAGTTTGGCAGTGGTGTTTGGGGTTGGAGTTGACTTTGTTGATAGGTTCATTTCATTTCATCCTTTTTTCTCCTGCCTTTTCTTCCCCCTTGTTTTCTCCCTCCTCTTGCTCTCACCTTTTCTTTTCTTTTCTTTGTCTTTTGTTTTGTTGAAAAAGATGAATGTACTAACACACATGCACATCCAGTGAACAATCCTGATTCATAGCCCTCTCCTGGCTTCATGTATCCATCAACAAAGTCCACAGAATCGTAGAAACTATGCAGGCCTCTCTAAAGAATGTACAGTATGAGAAAGTGGTCAAGGTGGGTGATGTGCTTTTGAATGATGTGCAGCGGTTGAGTAAGGTTTTGTATTAGCTACTATGATGAAGTTTTTTTTTGAGGGGGGATGAATTAGTTTGACGTGTGCGAATACCTGGATAGTATGAAAGTCAGGTATGGTGTACAGTGTACGGTCTCTGCTTCTGCTTCTGATTTGCAAGCATACCTTGGATTATGGGTTCACCTCCCATTGCCCATTTCCTCATCATAATTCATAATTCTTTTAAAAATTATCACTGGGGAGATAGATATGAATTTTAAATTGCAGATGTTACCAGTTTTCTAGCTATCTATAAGGAATCAGGTACCATTGAATTTCCTTGGGGACTTCTCAATCTAAGGATTCAACCCAGGGCACATGCTTCGAGCTATAGGGACCCACTCCATAAGCTGGAGGAGAGCAGGTAGTCTACACAACTACATGCTGGTCAACACATCCTGGATAGCATAGTATCCAAGAAATGTTTGGCTTTGATTCCCAGTGCCTCTTTCACAGTGGTCGGCTGTATGATTTTTTCTTTCTTTTTTGGCAATGATGATACTTCAACTGGATTGCATACTACAAGTTGTACCAGAAACCATTGAGAAATTCGGGTATGGTGTGACTTGAAAATGGCTACCATGTCCTAATTTGCACCAGAGTGAAAGGGTTTAATTCCAAATGCCCATCCTATTTTGTCCGCTGGTTAACCTTTTCATTTTTACTGCAGGGAAAATTCTGACTATGCCAAGACTCCATTTACTTACTTAGCCCACTGTGTCCTGAGAAATATATAGCATACAACAGTGCTAATAGTACTAATTGGTCTGTATCCAGAAATTCAGGTATGGTGTGAGGGCCAACATGTCCTGGCCCTGAGAGCTTGCACAGGAGTGGAAGGGTTCAATTCCTAATGCCTGTATGCTATCTGACTCAGAATCCTCAATTCTATTTTTACTGCAGTGGAAATCAGGCTTTGCAAATACTCAATAGCTACATATGTACTTGCATTTACTCATTTATTAAAAGTGACCAGAAAAAATGTACAGTGGTGCTAATGATGCAAGGTGGTCTTGCACTGGCCATTATGTATGTATGGACCAAAGGAAGGATCTATTTTTTTTTGTTGCATGCCCAACCTATGAAAGGAAAGTCAGGTATGGTGCACTGTGTATGTCTCTGCTTCTAAATTGCAAGTGTTCTTGGATTCATGGGTTCGACTCCCATTGACTGTTTCTGGCTATAAAGCATGAAACTTTTTTAATTATCAGTGGGGAGGATATAGCTTTTGTGGGGGTTTCCACTGACTAGAGAGCTATATGGAATTGTATGCTGAATTTCCTTGGGGACTTCTAAGTCTATGGGTTTGACACTCACTGCTTTACAGTGCTGTCACATAGGGAACCACTTCACATTTCACAAGAAAGTTGATTTTGGTGAAGGAAAGTCCTTGAAATTGGGTAGTCTAGCTACATGATGGTCAACACCAAGTCAACACATCCTTGACAGATATCATTGAAAGTTCAATGTAAGAAGTGTTTGATTTTGATTCCCAGTGCCTGTTTCATTGAGTCTAGTCACTTATCAATGTTTTTGCTATGCCCAGAATCAAGAAATTGTTCTTACTTATTGTACTATTGATATGAGTTTAGGAATCTGGGTATGGTGTAACTTGAAGGGCAAATACATCCTGCCCCCAAAAGCTTGCACTGGAGTGAAAGGGTTCAATCCCCACTGCCTGTCTGAATGGAATGATTCCTGTATGATCCATCTTTTTACCATGGTGGAAATCAGGCTTTGCAAATACTCAATAGCTACTTACATACTTGCATTTACTCATTTATTGAAAGTGACCAGGAAAAATGTACAGCAGTGCTGATGGTGTGAGGTGAACTGGCGCTACCCGCTATGTTTGGTTCAAAGGAAGGATCTGTTTTTTTTGTTGCATACCTAACCTATGAAAGAAAAGTTAGGTATGGTGCACTGTGTATGTCTCTGCTTTTAAATTGCAAGTGTGCTTGAATTCACAGGTTCAACTCCCATTGCCTGTTCCAAGTTCATTTAAGAGGTCAGTAATTTTTGATTATAAGTGGTGGGGATATGAATTTTTTGGAGGGTTTCCAGAAAATCATGTATAGTTACTATGTGGAATGCTTAATTGTCTTGGTACAGAATTGGGTATATATATATAAGTAGATGGTACACTGGATTTCCTTGGGAACCTCAAATCTAAGGATTCAACACTCACCGATTTACTGTGCTGCCTGTGCCTGTCATGGGGAACCACTCTGCATTCCACAAGAAAGTTGATTTTGGTGAAAGCAAGTCCATGAAATTGGGTAGCCTAACTACATAATGGTCAACACATCCTGGACAAATCCAAGAAGTCTTTGGGTTCAATTCCCAATGCCTGTTTCACAGTGGTTGGCCATTTTTTGCTATTCCTAATGTGAAGGAATGACATTTTTACTGGATTGGTATACATCCAAGAATATGGGTATGGTGTGAGGGCCAACAGTGGACATGTCCTTGCACTGGAGTGAAAGGGTTCAATTTCCAATGCCCATCTTTGTATGATAAATGGTGGGTGATTATCCTCCTTTAAATTTTTACCATGGTGGAAATCAGTTTTGACCTCTCCCAAGACTCATTAGCAACCTGCATTTACTTATTTGGAGACTGTGGCTGAGTGTCAAAAGATATATATAAGTTACTATCTAATGGTGTGAGGTAAACCACCAGCTGCTATGTATGGTTGAAAGGAAGGATCTGATTTTTTTTGTTGCATACCTAACCTGTGAAAGGAAAGTCAAGTAGCATATGATAACATCTCTTCTTCTGAATTTGCAGGCATGCTCAGATTTATGGGTTCAACTCCCATTGCCTGTGATGGCCACAGTTCTTCTGTGGCTTTTCAATTTGCCCCTTGATTACATTGGAAGCATTTTATTTGATATGTCAATATAGCAGTCCCATGTTGATTGCATTTGTGTGTGCATATTTACTTTAGCACAGTAGCACATCAAGCATGTGACCATAATGCACTCATTGGGCACATTGTGTTCACATTAAATAAACAAATCAGCCACATATGATGGCCCATTCTGATGGGTATATTTTTTTCTGTGGCTAGGAATTCCATGATATTTGCATTTTGGAGGTTATTTGAATTCAATTTTAAATGTGCATGGTAGGCATATGGGAAGAGTATGGGAGAGCATTAATGTCTCCAATCAACATTTGCTTACTCATGTGCCCATTGGCCAAATAGCCAGTTCTCCTGTGTCAGAACAAAACCTCTGCATAACTATATTTTGATCTCAATGTACTCTTGCAAAGAACAAGAAAATGACCCATGGTCCATTCTTTAAGCACACCACTGTATACAGAATCAGGTAACACTGAATTTCCTTGGGGACTTCAAATCTAAGGATTTGACACTCACCACTTTACTGTGCTGCCCAGGCCTGCCATAGGGGACCACTCCATTAAGCTGAAAGAAGGCTGGTACTCTAGCTAAATGATGGTCAACACATCCTGGACAAATCCAAGAAGTGTTTGGGTTCAATTTCCAGTGCCCATTTCACATTGGTCGGCTGTATAATCTATTTTGGCTATGCCCAATATTGAGGAATGATACTTCTACTGGATTGTGTACTACAAGTTGTATACATGCAGAAATTCAGGTTTAGTGTAACTTGAATGGCCACCATGTCCTAATTAGTAATTTGCACCAGAGTGAGAGAGTTTGATTCCCAATGCCTGTCTGTGTATATGTCATGGGTATCTATCCTCTTTTGAGTTTTTATCATGGTGGAAATTAGCTTTGACCCTTCCCAAGATGGATTTGCTTATTTGAAGTGTGAGAGTGTCCTAAAATATATATATAGGTACAGCAGTGCTCATGGTGTGAATTGGTCTATATCCAGAAATTCAGGTATGGTGCAAGGGACAACACATCCTGGTCCTGAGAGCTTGCACTTGAGTGGAAGGGTTCGATTCCTAATGCCTGTCTATATTGGTGCTGTATATATGGTCAAGCAGTCATGACCATCCTCTTTTGAATTTTTACCACAGTGGAAAGTCACTTTGACTCTTCCCAAGATGTATTTGCTTACTCAGAGTGTCCAGAGAGATATATAAGCTACAGCAGAAGTTGGGTATGATGTACAATGTGCATCTTCTGCTTCTGAATTTGCAAGGATTCTCAGATTCATGGGTTTGACTCCCATGGCCTGTTTTACAGTTGAAGTCATTATAACAATTTTTTCAACATCAATGCCAGTGAGGCACCATTGAGGGTAGATATGGGACATGCAGCATCCCAACAAATGTGAACTTATCTATGAGTTGGACACTCAACACTTTACTGCACATAGGGAACCACTCCATGACCACAAGAAAGTTAATTTTGGCAAAGGAAAGTCCATGAAATCAGGTAGTCTACATGATGGTCAACAGATGATGGACAAATGCAAGTATCCAAGAAGTGTTTGGATTCAATTCCCAGTGCTGGTGGAGATCTTGCAGTTCTTTTTTATGAAAAAATTACATTTACTTATGCCATATGTACAGTTGAGTGCAAAAAGAATGAAGGTTGGTTCATTTTTCTGGTTCTTTCTAAGAATCTATTGTACCTCAAATGTATTTGTGTATTCTTTTACATTATGTAGTTGTGTTACACTTCCCTTGGTATGGACTAATTTCAGTGAAAGCTGGAGCCTTGAGAAGGCTTTTATTCTGGAGGCCATTTTTGGCATCTGAAAAAAAAAATATGCGCTAACTGGAGAGGTAGCCAGAACATACCTCTGGTCAACCTGAATAAGCCTATCAAAGAATTAGTTAAAAATACTGAGTGGTTATGCTTGTAGAGCCTCCAGAAAATGGTCATTTTGTGCTATTTTGGTCATTTTTGGCCTGTTTTAGACAAAACAAGCCATTTTCTAAAGCCTCTACAGACCTAACCG